ATCCAAAGTTTTATTCTTATAGTTGGATAAGGGTGGATAGAGGGTCCCATACATCTCTGAAGCATATTGACTTTCTATCAATAAAAATTTAATTCATGTTGTCTATAATTTAATTATTTTCAAGGATTGTTACCCCTACTGCAAAACAAACCAGGGGGATTAATGATTATCAAAAAAAATAATTAGAAAATGATAATCATATCTTAGAGGTTATATAAGAAAGTGACCTCAATGCCTGCACCAGTTACAACGTTGAGTGCCAACATCATTATATATTTTTTTGCAAGAGTGCATTATAGTTTCAATGTGTTTTTCTGGTTTCAATTTGGCTCTGTTATTTGACTATTCTTACCTCTAAAATTACTGACCTTGGCTTTCAGTTCTCCTTTTTAAAAAATTCTCCTATCCTTGACCTTGGCCTGCCTCCGGTTTTCCTTATACTCTATCAGGAATACATCCTTTGCTCCTTACATTAAGTCCGGCCACTCTAAGTTCTGGTGATACGTACAATATCATTTTATTAGTTGCCTCCAGCTTGCGTGTTGTGGTACTATCTCGCCATTGTTAATTATATTATTATTATTAGTTATGACTATAATTTCAGTAACTATATACTGTAAGTGATTAGTAAGTACCTTTGTGAGTTTTGCTGCAGTGCATTCTGTCCTCTGAAATAAATGTAAATGGGTCCAGCATGGGGTAATTAACTCTTTCTAGCTATCACAGTTTGTTTTTGGTTGCCATTAATTACGTACAAAATGGGGGAAGGGTTGAACTTGAATTGACTTTAATTAAATTCAGAAAGGATAGTTGAAGGTTTGTGTTACAAGCAAGCTAATGGAAAATTCACACTGCTTGCCATAGAAAGAAATAAACAATACTAATAAACAAGTAACATTGGTTTTAAAAATAGTACAACAGAATACAGCTATTACCATACATCATCTGGTACAAGATGCCTCAACAAATGAAAGAGTTATTCTAAGCACTATGACCGCTTAATCTTATTGAAATGGTTATGGTGGAAATATACTCTTCCTGAAGCCCAGGGCATTGCTAGGTTTGAAGATTACTGAGGGCTTACGCCATACTTGGGTCCTCCCATGACTCGACCTGAAACCCATTAGAAGCCTCCGTTCTCCTGTATCCCAGATTTGACCCGTGTGACCCTATAACTAAATGTACTGAGGTCTCTTCCGTTTCTGACCCTTAACTATTTAAATTGTAAACCTACCACAGACAATAAAAACAATCCACACTCATGTACTGTAACATACATAGACAAAGACACGTACAACGCGCACATGCACGGAGACATACACATGTAAAGAAAAACATACAGGCACACTTATAATGAATAAATTATTTGCACATTGATATGTATACATATATATCTGTGCATAGGGACACACATACACACTCGTGCACAGAATTGCAAACTATAATTCACAAATACACAAACACAATAACAGCACACAGATAAAAATCCAGACTCACTCAATAAAATCCACAAGACACCTCTAAATAAACTAAACTAAACAGGCTCAAAAAGTGATATCAATTTGATATCAGAAAGGTCATTTAATGCTTAAATGAAATTGTTTAAACAATGACTGGGCAATGTAATTTTCATATCTATGGAATGTAATAGACAGGAGCACCCCAACTTGTATGTCGAATAGGTTAGGGAGCAGCCGGCAATCACAGTAGGGAATAAGTGACTACTACAGAGCTGCCCCCCACAAATGTACACAAACCAAAATCGAGGCTTAGCACAACACTAACAAAGCAGTGGTAAAACAGTTTTGGTTGCTCCAACTCCTGATGCTCTAATCCACTTAGAGAACTTGTCAGCTTTTGGGCACCCGTGATGTATTATTGGGGAGGATCTTCCATAGTTACACAGGTCAGTTATGCACCTAATCAAAATTACGTTTTTGAGCTTGGGAAATATTTTTGCAAACGTTAGTAAATTCATATTTTGTTCTGCAACAATAAATTCAATATATATGAATTTTGGACATATAGTTTCCTTTTAGGAATTTGACTTACTCTATGGTAATTATTGGATGAAAACCTGATGTTATGTTTGGTATTCGTCAAACTATGATTGGACCTTTCATGGCAAAACTGTCAGGGTCCCTTACTCTCTAGCACTGTCATAGGAGTACCATAAATACTTGAAGCTTTGTTTGGCATAAACTGATAATGAAATTCATTAAAGTGTGAATTGCCAGCTCTTCAAAGTGAATTTCACATTTTATTAAAAAAAAATAAATAGAGTGAACTAAAATTAAAATATTACCCGGCATCCAAATTGGGGATTAAACTCCTAAAAAAAAATAAACTTATGATAATCAAATTTTAGATAAAGCAGTTAATTGGAAAATTTCTCATTATGATTTCAATTCTACTATTTTGGCTTAACATTTGAAATTCACTTTGAATTCAGTTAATTCCAGACAGGGATAGTGAATAATTCTGCCATAGTCAGTTTATAGTGACATTGCTGGGTGCTTTTACAAGATAAATCACTGCTGACTGTGTAAAGGATAACTCATGACCCATCCTCCACTCCTTGATTCTTTGTAGCGTGAGATGATAAAAAGGACCTCTAATGCACTGACTGTAAAGGAAAAGGTCATTGTACAATTGTGAAATGACATCATAGGCAGCCAGGTTCTTGCAAGTGTCATTGTCTCCTAAAACTGACAGTGAAATAAATCACTTTGTTTATGCAGCCCTAGGCACACCTCCCTGCATGTGACTACACACAGCTATTTACACACTTCCTGTAAAGTGAGATCTAATGTTTACACTTCCTTCATTGCAAATTCTGTTTAATTTCGAATGTATTAACTCCTGCTTTGTTAAAAAGCTTACTAGAACCTGCAGGAGCCCACGGTATGTAGTTAAAGGTCAATTTACAGAGCAGTAGATACTTTTTTTTAAAGTAAGTTACATCAGATTGAAAAAGAAACCATTTTGTTTTCAAGTAGGCTGTTTCAGTCACAGCCAGGGGAACATCTAGTTAGGCTAGGGCTGCATAAACAGAAACAAAAGTGATTTAGCTCCCAAATGGCAGAGAATTGAGCAGTGAGACTTCAGAGACATGATCTATACAGTAAAACTGTTTCATTAAGTTAAAGTTGTGTTGTTGACTTTAGTGTTCCTCTAAATGTAGAAATTCACACCTCTTTATCCTGCAACTTGATGCCTCCATATTAGCACCTTGTCAACCACTTTTACACCCTCTGTCCTTTGTACCTTACAGTCAATATAGAGAAAGTATTTAGACAAAAAAAAAGAAAAGAAACAATGTTTCTCTTCTAGCTCCTAATTTGCAATGTTTGCCCTGGCTGAACAATATTATGATGCCATTGACCTAAATCTTTCATATAAATTCAAAACAGAACTATACAGAAAATGAAAAATGGTTAACAAATGTTAAATGTGATTTTTAAGGTTTTATTCGTGGTATAAATTGTTGAGAAGTGTTACTTTTGACTATTTTAGCCACAATTTGGCAATTTGTACACACACACACACACACATATATACAACCAAAAGACAGCATTTTAAGAAAACATGTTTTTTAGTCAGCGTAACCCTTCCTGTACGTCCCCACTCCCCTAAATTCCAAAGCCGATACCAAGTTCTCCCTATAGCCCAATCATACTCAGCTGCCATTACTTCCCCTTGCCAGAGTGGGAGAGATGTCAGAGAGGGCGGCTGAAGGGAGAACAGGAACAGCATTAAGGGGGACTGTGCCTCCCGGGTGATTGACTGTCTGGCACCAGCACACTGTGAGTGCTGGCATCAGCTGCCAAATGTGCCCAGAAATCACATTATCCAGGCCAAAACTCTTGTTCCAGGAGGGCTAATTACACCCCAATGAACTGGCGAGTTGGAGTTACCACGCCTGAAGCAGTGGTTAAACTCTGTATGTGCAGCATTTTATAGCAAAATTCTTCACATATAGACTCCAGGCACCATGACCACTTCAAACCACTGAAATGAGTATCCATTTAATTATTTGCCATATTGCAATAATATAATCAATGGTAAAAGCAGAAAATTCTAAGAGAAATAAAAAAGTGTCAGAAACACAGATTATTTGGGCGCATTATAGAAAAAAAAATGTCTGGGACGTATAAAGGCGGAGTAACAGTTTTATACTTAAGAAAATGGCGAATTTGCAGAAAGCTGGCACAAACGTGAAAACAAATGCAACATTTAAAAAATATATATTTTTATACACGTTAAGTGGACAATAATAGATTATAAACTTGTTCACCTAGTTTAAAAGGTCGTCATCATGTCTTGTTTATGTTAATATTATTTTGTAACATGAATTACTGTTTTGCCATATATCCCCATTCTACAATTGTAAAGTGCTGTGGAAAATGTTGTCGCTACACAAATTCTAATAGTAATGAACAAAGAATTCTGCAGGATGTCTGATTGGACATTCCAATGGGTTTCAAAGTATCCCAGTTACTAATGCTTTTCCAGATGCTATGTTTGCTTCATTTTAGGAATACGTCCTGCATTTGCTGGTAATTCTGAGAAATCCCAAAAATGCAACATAAAAGCAGTTATTAAATAAAGTTTTCTGTTTTTAATTAAAATATATATTAGCCCTGGCAAAGGCTCTGCTTTAAAAAAAAAATCTAAAACACTGCTAGCCTGCTGGGGTGCATGTTTTATTGGTGTCCCTAATTAAAGGGCAGTGCCTCAGAATAGGTGTCCTGGTGACAAAGTGTGAACACAGAGTATCATAAATAATTGGGAAGTGTGAAACTACTGATGTTCTGACTTAAAAAAAAAAAAAAAAAGCTTTTCCCCTCTCATTTCAGCACACCCCATTCATCCTATTCTTTCTTACAAAATAAAAATCCTCCAAAGAATTTAGCCCAGGCATTCCTTTCTCCAAACATCCTAATCATCAATTCAATTAGCATTTTAATTGATCCAGGCCAAGCTCTCTGTGTGTCTGTGTTTGTGTGTGTGTGTGTGACTTGCAAACTGCTCTGTTACCTGCTTCCCATGTTGTCCTATTCCCTGGTCTATCTCCTCCCCAATCCATTGCACCTCCCCTGCACCCTCCTCCCTCACTCAGGCTGGGGAGGAAATGATGTGGTAATGCCTGCTTAATTACAGCTCCAGACACCCATTGGATCTTGCAGTGACTTCCTCCTTAAGCAGACAGAGCCTCTCAGTCCCAGTGTGTTTGGACAGAACTTTCTTCTCCCCCCCTCTCCAGGTCCTGTATTAGATTGCACCCCTCCTGTTCCAGTCTGTGATCAGATCTGCTCTCCTTGGTGCAGTTGGGGAAGGGAGCAGGGGGAGGGAGGTCTGCTGTGCTGGGTGCAGGGGGAGGTGGTTTGCCTGGAAAATGAGAGCTGTTGGGGGAAACCTTGTCCTCATCAGCTGCAGAGACCTTCTCTGATTGTCCAGACCTCCATGGCCAGCTCCGTGGATCTGTAGGAGACTACCCCCAGCCGATCCTGGAGTCAGAGGGAGAAAGAGACTCAGCTGCAACATAGTAACATTCGCTGGAGGTAAGCTACATTGCATGGGAAGCTGCAGGAAGGGAGATCTGTTTCTCTTTAATGCTGTGTGTGTGTTATGGGTGGGGGTGGATAATACTGGCCCAGACAGCAATCAGTAGTCCTCTGTCTGTCTAGTCTCTTACATAAACATCTCCTTAATCACTAGACCAGAGGAGCCTGGAGCTTGCAGTAGCTGCTGCAGAACCTCTTGCTGTACATTTTAAATAAATAACCACAAGAATATCAGACCAAGCAGATCATAAACTTATTGGAACTCGCAGCTGTTCTTGGTGAAGAGGCACATTTAAAGTTGGGAATGCCAAGAGGTGCTGCAGCAGCAGTGGCCTTTGATGGCCTGGCCTTGCCTTGTTTGGAGACAAGTGATCTCCTAGTTAACACACATGATTAAAATCACAGCATCCTCCTGGCTGTAACCTACCTACCCACAGCTCCCTGGGTCTTTTTAAGAATATATAATAAATAAAATAAAATATTTCAGCATGCCCTATAGATTTTTTATTTCCTGGTGAGACTCCCATTAATGAACTGGGACAGAGCTAGACAGTGCAAATTGTCTCCCAGATCACAAAAAGCCCCTGCAAGCTGTAATACTATTCAAACACTTTGTGGGAATGGAGCCAAAGTGCCTCTTGGGAATTAACAGTCTGCTCCTAGCTATGTTTAACTGTGTGGGTGGATCTAGGTCTGTGAACTAGGCAAATATATTTTTGTTGTGTTTTTTTTATTTTTTTGAAGAGCTGGGGAGATTTGATGGAGGATGGAAGCTTCTCATCCATGAAATGTGATTCTTTGTAGCCTGAATTTTCATTTCCAAACAGTACTGTAAGTCTATTTCAATAAGACTGGAATGTGTGCTTCATTGACTGATGCCCACAGGCTAATCGCAGCCTACATGACATGCCAACTTTAAAATCCCACCCATTTAGCATTGTAGGTCTGTTATGGTCTGCAAGTCATGGCAATGCCTGACTCAGGAACCTCTGCTGTTACTATGCGCTTTGACAAAGCGCCTGCCAAGCTGTTGCGTTGTACACTGTCCAATGTCTGTGCACGCAAGGCTATGGAAACACTGTAACAAAAAAAAACAACAACAACCTCTTCCTTAATTATGTATCAGGGCATGTTATAAACAAGTCTGCAGCATCATTACTGTGTGGGTCCTTTCCTCCTCTGCTATATAAAATGGATTAAAGGGGTAGATCCCTCACTGTTGTCAAACTACAAGTCTCATCATGCTGAATTATGAGACTTTTATAGTTCAACAATAGTTAGGGTTTTACTTTTTGGCTACCCTTGGCATGATTTAACCTATTAAAAAGAGGGATGATGATATTTGTTTAAGTAACCCCCAAGCCCTAATCACAGGTTGTTGACATTTTAATTACTGTTGCAGCTATAGAGTGTGCAGGCTTTTTATTTTCACCCCCGCCCCCTTGGTGTAAATTGTGGCATTTGTTTTATCACAGTAGGCGTTTGAGATGTGCAAAAAAAAAAAAATATGCAAAGGTGATGAGGACTTTAAAGTCTCCTTTTGTCATGCACACTGGACTAAGAACGTGACTTGCACTTTCCTGTGTTGACTTGAGCATAGACATGCTGGTAGATAAAGCACTACAATAGACAGAGAGTCTGGGCCTCTCCATCTCTTGCCTTTGAAGTAATTCATTACTAGCCAAGCTGAAACCAGTGCATTAATTGATTTTAGATAAAGTTTGGCACACACTGTGCATTGTCAAATTTTCAATATAGTGACTTTGAAGGTCACGATTTAGCCAGGTGATCATTTCATGCCTTATTTATTCATTTCAAACGTAGGCGGACTCCTATGAATATCTTGAAATATATTCCATTGATGACTAATTGTTAGAATTTTTAATCTCTGTAGTTTTTATTCTGGCTTGGAAAATACCTACGCAAAATACTGTATAACTGCACCAAATAAATACTAATATGTCCCTCTTCTTCCCTATTTGGATTATAAAATGCAACATTATCTTATTTTTCTAAGAGGAACTTTATATAAAAACATGCGAACAATTTGATTTGGTATCCATAATAAGTTCCATCACTGCAATGTAGTGTCTTTGTTTTTGTTTTTTTAAGTCAACAGTAAACTGACGTGTTGCAAAATCAGTCCCAACCAAGCTGATTTATTGTAATGTTTTTTTTTGTTTTTTTTTAATTGTTATGGCTATTTTCCCAATAAGTTTGGTATCAGATCTCCCCAACTCACTGTCTTTTATTGAATGGAACACTACGACATTGCCAGTGATTATACTTTACCAAAGCTTAAATCTCTCTTTTATTGGTTCCATTATTACACAACATATTATTTTTGTTGTTGTCTAATAACCCAACATTATTGCCTTGAGTACTCTTATTTTGAGGTGATAGTTTTAGACTTTGTGTTTTTTTTTTTTTTTTTTTTCAATGGAAATTACAGCCAAGTTTTTTACAAGTTAAAAATAAAATGGACAATTCTAATTGTCACTTATGGTTTATCTTGTAACTCTGCTACTTTTACCTTTTTTTTTTTATTTTTTATTTTTTTTATAACAATAGTGTATTGGTGAATTAAGCTGTCAGATTTAGCAGTACAAAAGGCTTTTCAAGCATTTACTTTATATGATCAATACATTTTAAGTGTAATTAAACATATAATTTAAATATGTAGGCCCTTGACTTTCTGCATAACCCTCGGCTGTGCCAAATCTGTTGGCGGTTACTAAATCAAAATTGTGGCGTCATAAGCCAGCCCAGAACTAGTGGCAGTCAGTTGTCAGAGAGTGCTCAGTTGATGCTTTCTGTCAATGAATGGCGACTGGATTGGCTCCTAGCTTCTGCAAGTGAAGACATGTCACGAAACATAGGAACTGGGGGGACACAGGTCAGAGGACAAACCATTGCTAAACAGTTTGCCCATTACCGGGGAATGGAGCCAAGGTACTTCTCACATTATAACCAATACAGTGGACTTGAAGTAAACTTTATTATTGTATAAAGAGAAGTTGCTGATCCTGTAGTCCAGTGGTAGTCAACCTTTTTCCACTTACCGCCCACTAATGCATCTTTCTTGATGGAAAAATTTCCTTACCGCCCACCAGTTTTCGCGCAAGCGCGGAATATTTTTTAGAAAGGAGGGTGTTTTAAAAAATACATAAATGAACGTACATTTATCTTTTTATTTCTACTTTATGCATGTTTATAATGTTTTTAACTTTATAAAGTTTAATGAGGAAGCAATAAAGTAAATTGAACTTACCTTTACTAGAGGTTGATGCTGCGAGACTAAATATTTGATATCTGGTTCGATTTTCATAAGGAACAAACGAAGGTCTCCTCTTTCAGTGATAATCGGAAGACTTCTTTGTTTGCTCATAAAATGATTTCTCATCTGTGCGTCAGCTCCCCTCCTCTCCCTCCTCAATTCCCCTTCCCACCTTTTTCCCCTTTTTTCTATTTTTTAACCTTCCTTATAGCAATGGCCAATAGGAAGGCTGAGCTAGGTAGCCCACTTACTATTATTAGTCAACAACAATTCTCTCCTTTTCCTTTTCTTTCCTTCTCCTTTTTTACAAGTACTCTACTCCTTCTTTCCCCTATACTAGAAGTACTCTACTCCTTCTTTCCCCTATACTAGAAGTACTCTACTCCTTCTTTCTCCTATTCTACAAGTACTCTGCACCTTCTTTCTTCTATTCTACAAGTACTCTGCACCTTCTTTCTTCTATTCTACAAGTACTCTGCTCACAGACAAACACATACACACACACACACACACACACTCACATAGAAACACATACACACAAATATACACATACTCACACATGCACTTACAGACACTCACACATACACAGACAGACCCACAGACACACATACACTTACAGACACAGACACATACACTTACAGACACAGACACATATACTTACAGACACACACACACACACACACACACATACACTTACAGACACACACACATACACTTACAGACACACACACATACACTTACAGACACACACACATACACTTACAGACCCACAGACACACATACACTTACAGACACAGACACATACACTTACAGACACAGACACATATACTTACAGACACACACACACACACACACACATACACTTACAGACACACACACATACACTTACAGACACACACACATACACTTACAGACACACACACACATACACTTACAGACACACACACACATACACTTAGAGACAAACACATATACACACAAATTATTAATATTAAATATCCACCCAGCCTCCCTACCTGGAGAGCTGGTGTGGATCTGTCCATGGGGTCCAGTGGGGCTTCACTTAGGCGGGCGGCTAATCAGACGCAGCGAGGGAGCTCTAACCTCTCTGCTCTGCTCCCTCGCGGACTGTCTACGGATGCCGGGAGCCGGAATATGACATCATATTCCGGCTCCCGCGGCATCAGCAAACATCGCGCGAGGGAGCAGAGCAGAGAGGTTAGAGCTCCCTCGCCGCGACTGATTAGAACTCTGCCATGCCGGGGGGTCCAGAAGGTGGCCTGGCAGGAGGGAGCGCTTCCTCCTGCCGGTCACTGAAGACTTGCGCATGCAGAGCCGCTCGCGCCCGCCCAAAAGGAGAAATCCTCTTAAAAAGAGGATTTAGCCTCAGAAATCCCTACCGCCCACCTGGAATCCTAAAACGCCCACTAGTGGGCGGTAGGGACCAGGTTGACGACCCATGCTGTAGTCTAATCATTCAACGCTGATCAAAAATCCAGCATTCTAGGGCAAGATTCCCCAAACTCCGGCCATCCAGATGTTGTTGAACTACAACTCCCATGATTCTCAGCCTATCTATTTCCTTCATAGAATCATAGGATTTGTAGTTCAGCAACATCTGGAGGGCCAGAGTTTGGGGAAGCCTGTTCTAGGGTCTTGAGGTCTGGACAGAAGACCAACCATTTGAAAGTTTGCGTGTGTGTGTATATGTGGATTAATGAGGCAAAAATGTGATTCTTTGAACTCATCTGCATATGCCCACCCAGCACATCTTGCAGTAGTAACATCACTGCAAATGTGAGATTTCTGTGGGAAAAGCAAGTCTTACGGTTTGGCTGGTGTTTTGATCTATGTTTAACAATATACTGACTTTATGTATTTATGATTGTTTGTTATTGTAGGATACCTTTTTAGTTACTTTTTTCTTACAATGTTTGATCGAGCATAAGATTTAATCTATACATTGTGTTAGCAGTTTTGGTAGCAAATCTATGGAAGGGGGGGAAAAAACAATTTTAAAGATCTGTTTTGTCTGAGCTCTACCGAGGCCTTGACTGACCAGGGAGAGCAGAAAAGACCTCCCACGGGAAATACTTCTGCTTTCCCAAGCAACGCAAACCAACGTACACAACGCAGCAGTTGCTATGGAAATTCCCTAGCTTCCTCTTCTATCTCTAGCTAGAGAGTATAGGAACAGAGTGATGTGACGTCACTCCATTCTGATGCCGCCACATTGGCAACAAAGTCGGTGTCACAGAGGAAGTGTGCTCTACTTGGGGAAGTGTTCCCAAGCAGGAAAAGTCAAAGAAGACCGTAGGCGGAGGAAAGGGCATTCCAGAGGGCAGCCCAAAGTTGGGTGTTACATGAAGAGTAACACCCACGAAAGCTCAAAGATGGTGCCCCTGAAACAGAGTAGAGGTGAGTAAATCTCTATATTTCACATTGAATACATAGTGTATTTTTGCGATATATGATGTATTCAATGTATATGGAAGAGATTTCAGGCAAGTAATTTGTTCCTATACAGGTTCAATTTAAAGTACTCACATGTTGTGTAGCGACGCGTTGTACAATAGGTGAATAAAATACAAGTAGGCTGCAACAGAATCCATTTCACATTCATCAAGTATTTGAGGATATAACTCATTTGAGTCTATAACATAAGGACTATATTTCCTTCGTTTTGTTTTAACACTTACGCTCCGTAATAGTTTTTTGTTTTTCTTTCATTCAAGCTATGTGAATCACATTTTACTAAACACTTTTTTTTCTGATGTGTTAATAAGTGTTCCTGAAGACATGAATAAATACAATTAAACTCTATCTGCATATGTTAAGAAGATTATCACTCTGGGGTTGAACAATACACACAGCCTAAGCTTCACCCATCTCCAACTAAAAGGGTTATACCTTACCCTGAGAAGTCACACAGACATAATGAATGCAGATATGTTCTGTAATCTGCATGTCGAATGGATTAACCAACCTTTAAATTAAATTTGAGTGATTTTGTCTCCAACGTATACATATCCTCCTTTTCATATCTTATTGTTGATGAATAAGATGACTTCAAAACGGCATAGAATTCTTCTGGCATTTGTAAATGAAGCAAATTAACTCCAAACATATGCTCCAAACCTTACTTTGGGCAAGATATCCTTTGTACAATGGGAGGTTATTTGTACGCATTTAAAACGGTCTTTTTAAACCTTTTCCACATGTAAAGTGTTTTTCAGGATTACTTACAAATAATTCCAAAAAGACCCTCTATTTAACTTTGAGTATGTGCTGTGAGAGAGTCACCATCGTAGAATGATATCTGAGGTTTTCTTTAAATGCAAACCTAGAGTTCTTTATTTAGAGACGACTTTTTTTTAATTTATGTTTTTGGTTCCATTTACGTTGATATAAATTACTTTTTTCAGGGTTATATATATAATATTATATATATAATATAATAAAATTTTTTTTTTTTTTTTTTTTCGTAATGGTCCTCAAATAACAAGTGTGTGTGTTTGTGTTTTTTAGTTGTTGCTTTGGAAAAACTTTTGTTTTACAGTTTTTTTTTTGTTTTTTTTTTATTTAAACAAAGTGCGTGGATTTTCACTTACCTTTTTTCTGTGAATCCATCACTTCATCTAAAGCCCATTACTACCTTTATTTTCAGCTATTGCATATACTGAATTGTAACTCCTTGTGCGGCTCATATTTGTAGGAGTTTCACAGCTAAACTTGTCAAATACAAACTTTTTTTCTGTGTTAATGGCCAAGCTTATAGTTGACCAAATCCGATTTTATAAATTCACCTACAATCCATTCACTTGTTTTATCCGTGTAAGTCACCTATTTGGGGTATACATTTTTGTTTTCAGAGTGGACAGACTGCTTCTCTTATCTATGATGTTAAGAATTATTTGTTAGGTATATAACATTTGGTAAAGCCGTGTGTATACTTCCCAAATCCTGCCTATTTTCTTCTAGCCCTTTAACTAAAATGTTTGCAAAGAGCAATAAAATGATACCTAAAAATACATGCAGTTATATCAGTTTTTGGTAGAGACGCTGATACAGTTCAATTTTTTAGAGAGACTGTAAGTAAACACACAGATTTTCTATATTACTTAAAGAAACTGCCTGCTGTAGTTATTGCGGTGCCAGAATTGCCCTGGTGCCCTCCCAGAATAAATACCTGGGGTCTGCTGGATCGCAGCCTTCTGTGCACGTGAAAGCTGCTGTACTGTGCTAAGTCTGGCTGTTGATGGCAGGGCTTAGCTCAGTGGAACAAACAGACGCTCTATATTGGAGTTTCCAGCTTCATGTTAGTAGAAGACTGTTGGAACTTACTAACTACTTACCCTGTGAGGGCACCAGGGCAATCCTGGCACTATAACCACTAACCAGCCAGTGTGCTGTAGTGGTTATGGTGCTTGGACTGTACCTTTTTAAAATTGGACATTACAGCTAAAGATGGGGACGGAGTAAGCCTTTTAGATATTTACAAACTCTCTTATCTTTTATAGACTGGGAGTGACACCAGAAGTGGAAGTATGTATCCCTTACATTCCCTGCCCCAGGACATATCATCACCTGTCCAAGCTATGCTTCCTATGAACTGTCATTAGTTCCCATGTTTATGACCCACCTGCTGAATAATCTTGTTTACTGTTAGACCACAGCTACTGCAATAATGCTTTTAAACAAAACTCACACCTAGGGTCATAAACACCAGTCAGACTCGTATAGTGCCAGAAGAGTGAAGGCGAGGTCCTCATTTTCTCCCTAGGAGAGCCGACTTTTTTAAAATTCTTAATTGGGAATATAGCTTAAAAAAAAAAAAGCTGCAGATCAACTATCTTCAGACTTTGTAAGCCCTCCCTTATTCCCATCACAGGCTCCTAGTCTGAGCAAGGAAATAACCAGTCAGAGGCCATTGAGAATCCTCTAATTCTGAGTAAGCTGAAGTACTTTATATGTGTAGCGTGTTTCTTTAATATAAAGTTAGAATTAAATCGAGCATCTTGGGAAAGAAAGGTTAACACAGGTTATAAATGGCTTTCAAAATTTTTATTCAATGGAGTACTTTCCAGAGATGCCACAGTTCCCTTTTTAAGGATCAATGACTGCCTTCATTCTAGAAACTTAAAGAACCACTCCTGGCACCATAACAACATCATTACAATGCAGGTTTTATGGTGCAAGGAGGTTCCAGCCACCGGTTTAAATAAAGGTGTTAAGTTGTTCATGAGTGATTTTAACCATAGAGCCTTCAAGCACTGCCCCTGTACTTATGCTCAACATTCAAGACTTCAATCAGGAAGTCTTGGACCTGGATTGTTGATCTCTGCCTATCAGTAGCTCCCCACTGAGAAAAGATAGGAGGAGGTGTGTGTGTGTGTGTATATATATATATATATATATATTATGAATTTCTGAAAATTCTTTCTTATCCCTTCTTTGCTCAGTCACAGGACAACTCGTCTAAACTACGTTTAGCCCCCTGTTGAATAAACTCATTGGTTGTTAAAGTTGACCTATGGGAGTGTAAGAAGACTTGTGATTGCATCAATAAAACATGGAACTCTCTGTAGCCAGACTGTTCTCAAGTCTAAGCAAAAACATAACAGAAACAACAATGAGAAAAATACAGTAACAAAGATCAACCCAAAATACAAACAAGAAGACACATATGCGAGAAGAGAGGGACATGTACAAAACTAGTATCCACAAAACTGTCACTTGGGGTTGTTGCATTTTTTTCGTTTTGGTCCCCCCCCCCATTTTTTTTTTTTTGGGGGGGGGGGAGGGGGGTATATCTTTCCATTTTAATGGAATTAACACATCATCCCTGTACTACGCAGTGAGGAATTTCCATAAAAGCTATTTTAGAGATGTTGCAGGTATGAATCGGCGGCAATACATTTTTACAATTTTGGCATCTAGAAGGAGCAAAGACATTCAAATTTTTGTTGAATTTTTTTTTTATTTTGGTAATTTATAGAGTAAATTTTTATTTATTTTTTTTATAAAACCTCTTGAGAGAGCACGGATAGCTTATTGCTTAATGACCAACACATCAGGTTTGTAATGGAATATCTTTTTACTCTCTTCAAGTTTGGGTTTTATGGCGGATGCTCCCCGAGGTCCGCTTCATCTTACTCTGCTGTCCCTAGTGCAGTAAAAAGGATTCATTCCACAGCAGGAAAGGATGTGTGAACCCACTCAGCTCATAAAAATGAGGGGAAAAAGTCGCAGGAATTCTACATTGAAACATGTCAGCATTTTGGACTTCTGCCTGGAAACTATTACAAATGGAGTCTTGTAGGTTTTCTTTCCCATTTAGTTTATAAGGTAGAAAAGAGTAGAAGGTATTTTGTATGTGCTGTAAGATGTACGTGGTTTAGTTATCTGTATCTTCTGTCGATGGGAACATTATAATACGCTCATAGGATTCTAGAAAACGGCAACGACTGGTGCCTATGTGCACATTTTTATAATTATTTTCTTTTCTTATTGCTAAGCATGATTATCACAATCATTGCCGTTTTTTTTTTTTTTTGCTTTTTATTCTTTGGGCACATTGTAAGATGCTGTAAAGACTTGGCGAACCCTCTGCTGGTGCTTAAATTGATTATAGTGTGTGCTCCTTGATGACTGTTTAATAACCATGGAAATCATTATTGTTAAATGGTTATTTTTTTATTTATTTTTTTTAATACTTTTTTCAGAAAGCCCTTTTAAAAAAATGTTATACAATAACATTTGAAGGTGTGGCTTTTTTTTTATTTCCACTATTTGGTATAACCCAGTTACATTCACTTTGTACAGATTGTTTATCTATGTTGAGTTGCATTCCTGACATTTCCACTTTGCTGAGATTAGGTAATGATTTTATTCCTACACATGGATTTTTGAGCTACTCTTTTCAAACCCCATCGGGGTAATTAAATTTTTAATGTCTTGAATCTAGAAAACTGTAACTGTTTTTGTTTTGTGGGGTGTAATTGTGTGTGGGTGGTGGTGTGTGTTTTTTTTAATTTTTTTTTTTTTTTTAGAAATTGAGATTAGTGACAATTTTTTTTTGTATAAGGTGCTACTGACACATCAAGCTTTTTAAAAGTGCGTTGCGTACACTTTAAAGCATATCCTGGCAAAGTGTTGTGGACACGTGTGTAGCCCTTTGAGTTGGTGTGTTACATCCTGTGTGTAGTGGCACAGATTTGCAACTATAAAAATCTTACAGTAGGGACACAAATCAAAGCCTGTGTGTTTGGCTGAAATTGTAATTTGTGTTAATGGAAATTATTTTCAGACCTGCATTGAGAAGCAGTTTTCTGTCTCCCTGGCCAACAAAGCATTAATGGTAAGGCGTGAGACTTGACGATTTAATAAACTAAAAGCCATTTATATCAGCATAAATATGTCTGTATTTTCTTTCCCCAGACTTTACATTATACTAAATGCTTAATCAAAAAAATTTAAGGATGAGTGTTGCGAAGATAAGATTAGTAATCTCAAAGAGGTGTGAAAGGACTATTAATTATCCCCCCCTGTTGATAAGGGCCAAGGTGTAAGTTTGACATAAATTGCTTCTGTTTTGACCATCATGCTCCATATTATTTGAACAGAACGAAGCCTCCTGACATGAGCCTACATAGACTTCACAAGGCAGAATATGTGTATTTAGTCTTGAATCTTTACAACGTCCCAGTACCATTCACAACATTGCTCACATTAGATTTATGGTAGACATGCACATGTCAGGTTGGATTTAAATGTGTGTGTGTGTGTGTGTGTGTGTGTGTGTGTGTATATATATATATATATATATATATATATATATATATATATATATATATTGTGTGTGTGTGTGTGTATATATTTTTAGTTTTATTTGTGTTAATGCATCATACAAATTATGCCTAAGTTAAAGGGACACTGTAGGCACCCATGCCACTTCAGCTAATTTAAGTAGTCTAAGTGCTGTGTCCCTATTGCACTTCCAGAGAATGTTTGGTTTACATTGCAGCTCTAAGTCTGCCCTCTGTAGCTGTCCACCAGACAGCCACTGTGGGCGCTTCCGGAATCTAAACTTACTTTTGGTCCATTATCTGATGCTGGACGTCCTCACGGACCTCCAGCATCAGATTTTTCCCATAGGAACGCATTGAATAATGCTTTCCTATGGGGAGGTCTAATGCGTGCGCAGCCATTGCCTCACATGCGCCTTAGGTCTCCCCTGCCGGCTGACGTTGGCGGAGGAGAAGTGTGGGCGGGCCAGTGGGTAGGGAGGGGAGATCCATTAACCCTATAGTGCCAGGAAAACCGCTTTGCTTTCTTGGCACTAGAAGATCCCTTCAAATGCTCCCCTGACAATGCAAAACCTTTCATGCTACTAAAAGGCCAGAAATGTATTCAGCAATCAGGAACACAGTCTTTCCTTAAAAAGAGAAGACATCAAAACTGTCGGTGATACATTTAAGGGTTACGTTTGGCCTACTTAGTGGCGGGATTAGTTGATGCTTTATAAGGCTTCCATGAGAGGAACATGATCATTGTTTTGGCTTAAAGTAGAACTGTGAGCTCACAGAGAATTGGATTTTTAATTTGGGAATGTAGTTCATTTTGACAGTAAGCTGGTCATTGTTTGTTTAATTATGAGGAGTCAAGATTTTATTTTCTTCTGTTCTTCCACAGTTTTGTTCCATCTCATGAGAGGGACACTATGAACACCTAAACAAAACATGGTCCTTGCTAAGTGAAGGTTTGTCGGCTTTACTCTGCTGTGATTGGCTAACAAGTGTCAGCTATTTCCTGGTCTGGGTAGACATCACTGCATGAAGTTGCAAATACTCTGGTGTTTTTTTAAAAAAAAATCTCGCTTGTTTGCAGTTGGTTTTCATGCATTGTCTGTACAATGCACTAAAAATAATCTCCAAAAGAAAATTTGGGATTAACTCCTGTGTGGAGGTCCTTCTAATACTGACCCTGCATTGGCCATTTAAAGGACCACTCTAGTGCCAGGAAAACACTCGTTTTCCTGGCACTATAGTGCCCTGAGGGTGCCCCCTCCCGCCGGGCTCTAGGGTGAGGAAGGGGTTAGACTTACCTCTTTCTTCAGCGCCGGGCAGGGGACTCTCCGCCTCCTCGGCTGAATGCGCATGCGCAGCAAGAGCCGCGCGCGCATTCAGCCAGTCTCATAGGAAAGCATTCTCAATGCTTTCCTATGGACGCGGGGTCTTCTCACTGTGATTTTCACAGTGAGAAGCACAGAAGCGACTCTAGAGGCTGGATTAACCCTAATATAATCATAGCAATTTCTCTGAAACTGCTATGTTTATAGAAAAAAGGTTAAACCTAGCTGGACCAGGCACCCAGACCACTTCATTAAGCTGAAGTGGTCTGGGTGCCTAGAGTGGTCCTTTAAGAGCAGCAAAGGTATTAGTAGTAACTTTTTCCTGTAAACTTGTATTGTGTAATTTTTGTATTTCCATGTTATTAAATATTGTGCCTGAAGTGTTCCATTGTGATTACCCAAGAGGATGAATCAAGGTTGTGTTTTTTTTTTTTTTTTTTCCTCCCTCTTCTACATTATGCATAATTCAAAAAGCACCCATGCATTTCTGCTGTAAGTGGAGTTGTCTAGACAGAGATAGGCTTCACTGAATAAGAGGGCGCAATGTTTGCTCAGGTGACTTTTCACATTGTAATTATTTGTTTAAATGCGAGCAAGCTTCTGTGAAAACCAGTGTTTTCAGGCTGGTTTTATCTGGATATATCTGAAGCATGGCTTTCCTTCTATTGATTTCCATGATCTGTGCTGTATGATAAAAAGCTTACTTAAGTGACACTGGAGACAGCTGTCTGTTTCTGCAGAACATATCTATTCTGTTTAATGGCGCCAGATATTTATTTATTCACCCCCCCACCCCCCTTTCTTTTTCTGTTTCCTTGCCCCTAATCTCTGTAATTGTACCTTTTAGCAATATCTTGGTTAAATTTCTGTGCTAACAATAAGTCAAAGCATTTTTTATTTTTTTTTATTTTTTTAGCTTCCATGTGAATTGTAAATAGTCATGAAGTGGTTTATATTTATTTATTTATATGTATTTTACATTTTGTGGAACCTGAGCCGCTCTGGTAAGATAACACGCCGTGATTGTACATTCGTTGCTCCACTTGGGATGTTAGGCTTCGGAAAATAGCCCGCTGTGCAGTGATGCTGTTTTGATAAACAAAAGACCCTCCAAACTTCCTGAAATGGCAAACCGATCTTAAAATAATATAGATCCAGGATTCTAGTATTTCATCTTAAATTCTAATGTGTGTAATATTATCATGTTTATTTATTCCTAGTATCGTATCTAGTATCTCATATCAGCCCGCTGTTGCCTTTAAAGGGTTGATGGAGCTTTGATATGTTGGGGGGAAAAAAGGAGGCAATTTTTTATTGTTGGGACTTCACGTGATTAAAACGATATAATGTACGTTTTGTGGCCCAATTTAACTCCAAAGTTTACTCCTGTTTAGCTCTTCAGATTCCAAACCTATCATTCTATATGTTAAATGCAATATAATCTGTCAAACCCCCCAAAAAATGCCGCAAGAAAACAGTTTTCAAAAATTTGAAAAGAAAAAGTTAAAACTTTATCTGTTGTTCACTCTGCATTCAATAACAAGTTAAACATTAGCTTTCTGCGACTCAAAGCTGTAGCTGTCATAGTACACGTGTTTTTTGTTTAATTTACTAGAATTGCTTGGGGGGAAAAAAAAGATTTAAAAGTAGGTCCCTCTCCTACCTGTTGATACATTCTTTAGCACAGAGTTGGCATAGATCACAATGCGGAAGGATTGATTTATAGGGAGAGCAAGAGAACCCTCTTATAGGTGTCTTTTTGCTTGCCGACACGAGATCCACAGCAAATGCTTTTAACACTGGCTCAGGAGTATAAGAATGGAGTGAATGATGGGTACTAGAAACTAGGTAGGCATTATAGAGGATTGCTTTGCTTGGGGAGGTAAAATTAAAAACTCGTGTTGGAGGGGCACAGGTGGCACTATACGCCATGTGCCCAAAGAGCCTCTGCCATTATGGTGTCGGACCAAATAAAGTTGGTATCTAGCTCTGTGATAAAATATATATTTTCATTGCCAGTAGGGTCAGTTTCAGTTAAACTAAGGCTCCCTAAATAATTCAACTAATAAAACCTATAATAGCAGATTAATGGATGCCCCTTTGCCCTAGTACCGAAATGCGTGCTTTCTTGCATGGGCGCATGTTTATTATTAACACACAGACAAACCTCTAATCTATCTGTATCCATTTTAATTATTTTGTTTCATTTGAGCTTCTTATTAAAAATGCATTGTTTCCAGGAATTTAAAGCTTCCAAAAGAGAATGGCCAAGTCAGCATGACTGGTAGTCTTGATGGAAAATTAAAGCTAAAAATGGCTAATGGCATTCATACTATCTACGTAACCAATAAAACAATGCCATGTTCATTAGATCGAAGTCACAGATTGGCAGCGTTTTACTGCCAACTGTGGGAGACAACAGCTGCAGGGAATGACAAGTCCTTTGCTAAAAGCACTATGTTAAATAATTTGTCTCTAAGACTACTTCTGTTTTGCTGGTAGCAAAATAAATCCTTGATATGAAAGCCTAATGCTGAAGCTTTTTGTGAGATCTAGCCAGTGCAAAGTGGACCATTTCATTCTTTTTTCTCCTTGTGTTTAAAGTAGAGTAATAATAGCTCAAAACCACTTACATATTGAGAACTCTGCATGAACTGTGTAGATCTAAGATATTTTTATCATTTTTTATTTTTTATAAAGTGCCACAGAAAATTCTGCATCGCTGTACAATAGGTGAACTAACAAAGTATTAACTAGACAGATCAGACATTCAGGATCAGAAGGTGCTGGGGGCCCTTGAACACGTTTTGGTTTAACCATCTTTAGGACTAGATTTACATCAATCTATTATCATGATAATACTGACTTGCTTGTCCTGCATGCGTTTGAGGAAATATTTTTGCTTTCCATTTATTTTATTTTATTTTTTTTAAATAATTTCTAAAATTTTCAAATTGCCCCAAAAGACCCACTTTAATTTCACCTATAATCCAGCAGCTCACAGCTTCTATTCTTTCTCTTGCAAGATCTTTAATTGTGATGATTTTGGTCCAGTTACATGCTGCTTATAGAGAGGGATTCCTATTGTGCATGTGTGAAAATTGCTCCACTCTGCCAGTAGAAGTAGTAGTTGTTGTTGTAAGTATTTATATAGCGCCAGCTTATTCCGCAGCGCATTACTATAACAGTTGGACATCTCTTATAGAGAAGCACAAAATCCAATGCTTCTCTACAAAAAATTAACAATAGTTGGCATGGTGTACTGAAAATTTTTGCTATTTGAACATTTTCGTAAGGAAGTGGCACTCAGTCTGATTTTTCGTTTGAAATGGGAATATTTACATTGCCAAAGAAAAGGAACAGTTGTATGCACCAACATTGGTTCATTATGATGAATTAGTTCTGAAGTTGTTTTGATTTTAGCGTGTGTGTGTGTGTGTAATCTTTTATTTTTTATGATGGTGCCTGGTATACCGTCGGATACCAGTGTTTTCTCTTTAATGCTTCCGTATTCCCAACCCTTCTATCTATAACTTCTGTTGCTTAGTGGAACTACATCCTAAATGTGTTCTACAAGTCAGGAGAGCAGCACCCTTAACAAACAGTAAACAAAGAAACCGAAGTTAATACCGTTAAGGAATTCCAAAGAGCTAATTTTAAATCACTATGGCTTGGAATAATGTTTTTCCTTCTTGAGATTTTCATTCTAATTGTTGATTCTAATGACCCAATGTGTTCCTATTTTAAGTCTAGCACAGCTGTTCCCTGGGTATTTGAAATGTTTATATTTTGAGCAGTAGCTGTTAAGGGGACACGGCTATATCTGCCGAAACTCTCTTGTTTCGCCCAATAATGCTGTTTTTAGACTCGCTAAATTACACAGGAACTCCAGGAACTCTGTCTCCCTAGATTTTTGTGTCAATATTTTTTTTTTTTTTTCGTCGCCTGATTTTTATTTAAATGAGCAGCTGTGCGTTTTGTTCATGAGCCATGCTGTAATTATTTTTTGATTCTGCTTCAACACAAAAACAAGATTTATTTATTTTTCCTCCTCTTTTACGCTGAGTAATAGCTATTTCCATTGAACCAATTCCAGCTTGAGGGAAAGGCAACATTTATATTGAATACTGATAATGGACTTTCTTCTCCTTCTTGTATTTGAGATTGGGTTTCTTGCTGCTAAACTTGACTATTAAATAAGACCACAGCTTTTTTTTTTCTTTTCTTACATGTTGAAATAGTTTTGATATTTTGAGTGGTGTGTTAAAGGGGCACTCAGAGTTCCGTTACCATTGCAGCTTGTTGTGGTGGTCATAGTGCCTGAATTCTATGGGTGAAATTATTCCCCACTTTTTTTTTTTTCTCTTCTCAAACTACTTTCAAAGAGTTTGACAAAAACTGGAGATTCCTTGGCAATTGAAAGCCACCTTCTCAGCTGGAGACATCTTAATGAGGATGGTTCCCTTCCTCATTATCATCTAAAAATATTTCTACAGCATGAGCACTGGTGGTTTTGAGGCGATTTGTGAGCACAAGGTTTATAGAAGGGTTTGGCTTCTCCAATTCCAACTATTTAGTACTGCCAAATCTGTAACCCCTTTCAGTGGAAATCGCTATTTCAAAAGTTTTACAGACATTTTGGCATGGCTGAATTTTCATGTACCTCCGTACTTACAGCCCATTGTTGCTGAGCATGTGCATGTACAAACATTTGGATATATAATGAAAAAGTTAACTTCCTTTTTATGACCTCTTGTGGTGGTGGTGGTGGAGTGGGGTTGAGGTACAAAATGGGTTAAGAAAGCAAAAACCTTAATGCTTCAATAGCCTCCTTGTGCGTTAACTACTACAATAAGCTTGGAGTGACCGAACTTTAAGTTGATTGGGTAATGGTTTTAAGGGACATGATATATATCTTCTCCCTGTGTGGCTATACTATTTTTAAGAACTGTAATCAAATGTTCAGTTCTTGGTTTTTCAATAGTTTATTACATTTATTAAAACTAAATAGGATATATATTATTTTTCAGACTCTGTTATTTGACAAACTGTTGTTCAACTTTGCTTGTTTTTTGTGAACTGGCAGTGGCAAGTTCGTTTGAGCAGCATTTGGTCAACTAATAGGAAAGTCTGACCTAGCCTAATAAAATAAACCCCCCTCCCCCAAAAAAGTGACATTTTCTAAAAAGGAAAAAAGTCAAAATACATTAAATGGTGTTTTTTTTTTTGTGTGTTTTTTAATCCTTGTGTTTTTAAGGTTAAAACCTTATGACCGTTACATTTTAAAAGTAAACTATAGTGCCAGGACAACAAAGTTTTTGAAAGCATTAAATATTAAAGCTAGCATACACACATATAGATTGAAGCTGTACATAAAGCATATTAGTAATTGCCTAAAATAAACCATAAAGGTTGAGAACCCTGGCATGTAGGTGAGGCTGTGTGTCCTGACCTAAATGTGTAACATTCTGCTGTAGAGCGTCCTCTTGTATATGTTTTTAAAGTTATGGTGGCATACAGCCTCTGGCCTTACTTTTGGAGTGCTGGGATTTTTATATTTTTTTTGTCTATTTGGGAAGTATTGAAGTGTTGATACTGTCTGCCGTGAAAGCGTGCAACTGAATATCGTGTCGGTGAGTCACTTCTTTCTAATACCCACCTGCTTATGACTGTACGAGAGTGGGATTTTGGGACGTATCCAAGTGGTTTTGTGGCTTAAGCCTGGTTTTTCCTCATTTTGGTTATCGTAAAATCTGGGGATATTTCCAAGTTGCCAGTCTGACTGCGATATACAAACAAAGGTGTCCGGTTAACTCTGGTACATGGAGTGTACTCGGTCCTTTTGTAATGTGTTTCCAATGATGACTGCTGATTCCAGTGCTATTGTGATATGTCCTTTCTTATCTAGTCTGGCAGTGCAAGATGCTAGCTTTACGAGATTTGCAGATAACTGCATGTTTTTGTTGAATATTTGTAGATAATGTTACAATTTGTTCTGATTTTGGAATCTAGCTGATAGGTGAATAACTTTGTGTCTTATATATTTAGTAGTAAAGGTGAAGGCCCTTTATCCTGTACCACCCCCTCCCCCCCCCCTTCTTCTTTAATAGTTTCCTTACAACATAACTGAAATACATGCTTACTGGGAGAGCTATTTTCATTGAAGCTGTGTGAAAATGTATTTTCTGCACTCGGCCCCAGTGCATTTTACAGCTACACATTACATAGCTGCAAGCAATGTGCTTTGTGTATCCGTAGCCGGTTGCCTGGATCTCATGGGAGAGGTGCCTTCTCTCAGAAATGTACGCAGTAGGGCTGCGTAAAAAGCTATGCTGTGGGATAGGGCTGCGTAAAAAGGGATTTAAAATTCTTTTTGGGCATTGGGATGGAGAAAGGTGTATCATCTTTCAATTCCATTCTAGTGTTTCTGGCTGTTTATTGTTCCTTATTATGTCTGCAGAACTACTCTTGATGCTTGTGCGTGTTTTTTGTTGTTGTTTTTTGTGTGTGTGTGTATTCTTTTTATGTATTCAAATCAGAGAGAGAGAGAGATTGATTTTTGACCCATTGCGTGATTCTTTAAAAATCATTATAATTAATAGGTCTGGGCCTGTTACACATAATTAACAGTATGAAACAATAATTAAAAAGGCAAGGTAGAGCATGTTTGCTGGTTTTATTCCAAAACGTACTTGATTAGCTTTTGGCAAATCTGTACATTTTCTTTTATTGGTGAGAGTGATTGAAGGTTCAGCTCGTTGGGTGTCAAACTGTAGCCCCTCTACTAAACCCTGTCTTCCACACCTTTTTCAATAAACCTATTAAACTGCTGTTTTAGAACATTCATTATCCTTGTATGTCAATTGTGCAATAATTACGTGAACCTAAATCTGTCCCTTGCTGTAATATAGTCAAAAGTAATAAGATATATATATATATATGTGTGTATGTATGTATGTATGTGTGTGTGTGTGTGTATGTGTATATATATATATATGTGTGTGTGTGTGTATGTATGTATATATGTATATATATGTGTGTATATATATATATATATATATATATATATATATATATATATATATATATATATATATATATTTTTTTTTTTTTTGTCAGCCGTTTATTTGCTGGCATTTAATTTATTTTTGTTTTACATTAAGACTGAAGGAACTCATCTGACGCTGTCAGCCTATCTAAGCTGCCCCTTAATACTGACGCTATTGAGGAAGCATTGGCCCGAGCAAAATGTATAAAGAAGGAATATAAGTGGTTATGGTGCTTAGAACGTCTCTTTTTAAATATGCAAGTTAAACTTTTGTCTTTGCCAGAAATCTGTAGGAGTTTTGCACGTCTACTCTACGTGGTTTTGTAGGATATGTTGTCCAACATACAGCAGTTATGAAAGTAATGTTTACGAGCACAGGGAATTGCCTGTGATGTCACTGACCAAGGTTCGGTTATTTTCAGCAATTGGTTTATTTGCTTTTTTTTGCGAAATTTTGTAGTGCTAAGGAATCGATTTTTTTACTGGACATTCTGTCCATTTTTGCTACTTTTTTATTTTTTACGCAAATATTTTAACAGCTGTTGCTTTAATTTAGTGGAAATATTCTTGGTTAACTGAATTAACATTTTGGGAAAAAAGTAAGCTTTTTGATTTTTCTATTTGTTTTATGTATAAACCCAAATCAGCGTTGGAGATGTTGGACATACTGGTGACAAATCAGACGTTTGAAGGTCTGCAATCTGTGCATGGACAATAAAACCTGCCCGGCCTGTCTTTTAGGAAATGCTGTTACGATAAAGATCTTGAGATTCCATTCTTTCTCAAATGTTGTTGATGTTGTAGTTGGAAATGCTAACAAGAATCTATGGTTATAAGCGTAAAGGCTAGAACCTACAAGGAGCAAAGAATGAAATGGTGGTAGTTGCTTTTATGAATTGATTGTAGATAGAGAGAGACTGGTCCTATTCAGGAAATTCAAATTGGTGTAAAGTTTTCTGCTAGGTTACACAGAGCTCTGTTGGAGAAGACCGCGTGACCCCAATTTCTCGTGCGACTGTCTGCAACTGGGACATCAAGTTGAGTTGCACTTTGTTAGTTGAGGTGGACAGCTGTCTAGATGAGAGCTAAGATTTTTAATTGAATCCCAAAGGATTCAACCAGCCTGTGTACTGATTGACAGAGGTGTTAAGTTAGAACAATGGTGCTCTAACAATGAGCTCAAAAAAACAAAACAAAAAAACTGAGAATCCAGACTCACAAAGGAAAATTATTAAATGTTTTTATTTAAAGGTTTACACTAACACCAACGAGATACCAAAAAACAATGGTCTGTATTTGAGAAAATAAGTGTACATAAACATCTATTTATACATATGACTAATTATTAGTTTTATAAATGACCATCTATTAGTTTCTATTTCTGCATATGACCTTTTATTAGTTTAATACATTTTTGAGTGCAAAATTTATTAGTTTTTCTTTTTGGTTGGTTAGGTACATGGTGGAGTCATACCTACTTGAGTCCTGCACCAAACTATTTCTGTTCAGGTGGTATACTATTCATTGCTGGAATAATCTTTCATATTCAAGCAACATTTTAAAAACCCAAAAGACATGGAATGATTGTGTCTAATATTCTCAAAGTTTCTAAAAACATTCTGAATTTTAATTATTAACTAGCTATTTTACAATAAAACATTATTTTTTTTTTATTTTTTTTTTTTCAACAATTTATATATTATATATATATTATATTTTTAATACAATTTTACAGTACAGTTGTTAGGTGGAGTTTAATGGTCCCTTTTCTTTGACTTCTGAGTTGGGGGTGGTTCCAAGGGTTGGAAAAAATGCTGACAGCATAATGGGAGTTGCGTTTCTACAAAAGCTGGAATGAATAAACTAACATCACACAATTAAAAATAGTTCTATATAGAAAATGTGAACTAAAAGCCATTTTCTAATTTTAGACCACAGTATCCTCTAGTACTACAAGGCAGTTAAAAAAAAAAACAAAAAAAACATAAAACTCCACAACTACTAAACAAAAGGTGTGCACCCTGTATCCAGGAGGGACACATTTTCCAAGGAAAGAAGGATGACTTTGTAACTTGTAAGTGCTGCTTTTTTTTTATTTTTTTATTGAATTCAACGTCTGTCATATCCTTATTTAGAGTTCTTATGATCTATCCTTTTTATACATTTTATTTTCGAGCACTTTCTGCACCTAAATAACAAGTGAATCATTATTACAAGGAGTGTTCCAATTGGTCCATTCCACGTGTGAGCTCTGCAGCCAATAGCCGGTCCTGTTTGGTTCTGAAGTTACAAGCCGTTCCTAAACAAACCCATGTTGCTCTGACCCTACCTTCTAAATGTGCCATCACGGGTATGCTAAAAGAATTCAATCTATAAATAGAGAGCCACATCTTCTAATTTAGATTTGACTAAAACTTCTGTTCTGGTTCTCGTGCGTCTACAGATTGGGAAATAGGACAACAGTCCAGGTGCTAAGCATGACTAGACACATTGGTTTAAGTGTAAGTTTCAAAAAAAAAAAAAGGTCTGCTGATAAGTAAGATGTATTTTGTTTCAACTTTGTCAAATTAAAACCGTTTCTTAAAGGGACACTCCATTCCAGCAGGTTAACTGCATGTTGTTGCAGGGTTGTTTTTTCTGAAATTGAGAAATTTACATTTATTATTATTTATTTTTAATTCCCCTTAATAACACCTCCTGACTTTCGAGCAGAAAGCTTTCAACTCTTGTTCATAGTGGAAGCAAGTGCTTCTCTGGGAGAAGCATTGTTATTGTGTACTTTTATGGTTTTTCTTTGAGACAAACCTGATTGGTCTCAACTCTTCCCTAATGATGACTTTGCAGGAATTGGCTTAGAACGGTAAACTCGTGGATAAAGCGTTTCATTTTAACATTTTCAGTGCTGAAGGTGGGTTTATCATCTAAAGACTTTAAGGCATACTCCAATAATAAAAAAAAAAAATTAAAATTTTTTTTTTTTTATTGGAGTGTTAAAATTAAGCTTGAGTACTGTGCACTATTCTGGCATGGAAACGAGCTGCTGTTATATTTTCCTCATGTTAAAATTAAAACTGCAATGCATCTATCTAAATAGTCTACTCTCGGACTGCTTTGGTGCAAAACAAAAATTCAGAGTTGACACGAGCATGTTCTAGTTAATGCTTTGTTATCCAACGATAATTGCCTGTGGTATTTACTAATGTGATTCAACTTATCCAAAGTCTCCACTGACCATCTGTACTTGGCACGGTTTCTCTGTTGCTAGGACTCTGCGTTAAGAAGAATGTCAACTCACTGTTTACTTAGGAAGATGCTCCCAGTCACAAACAATTCCTGTCGGAGTTCATGGGTGCTATTTAGACGATTCTGCCACTTAACTAAATTAAAAATATATAAGCTGCTGAACTAAACTAAAAATGTAAAATGAACAATAAGACTCCAGTGTGTCTAAGCTATATGTAAGAGGGAACTTGGCTTAGGTTTGAACTAGTCTTGAGGTTGCAGAGAGCTACCCAGGAGCCAAGTGGTCTGACTAAACCTAGGTTGAAAACAAACCAAAATCTGTCCAATAACACGGTATTCATTCTGTTTTTCTAAATCAGGGCGTGTTATTGCTTCATTTTCCCCAAATGGAGGGGCTACTTGTTGATGGGCGGTCAGCGTGCCCCTTAGCTTTGCTGTCCTCTTTGTACATAAATTTTAATTTCTTTAATATGGACCATTGTTGGTCAGTTTTCGTATGCTTATTACATTGTTGCACATTTCTTTTAAAGTGTCTGTGATAGTCTGGGCTAGATGTAAAAAAAACATAAATGAATGTGGCTGAAGTAGCCAAATTCACACAGTTGGCATTCGAATGGCTGGTAGTACTTGGTACCTCTATTGGATAGAACATTTCCAGCAAGTTAGTTCACGAGGAGTCTCTTTGGTAGAGTTGCTACTTTTAGCTGAATATATTGTGGCCCCAAGATATCTGTGCAATCCAGGCCTGCAGAACCTAATACAGAGTACTCTGTTACAAAGCTGTAAGTAATATATGTGCTGATGTTGCCTCCAGAGGTTTGTGAATGAGGATCTGTGCTGAGCACACTAGATCACCATAGGGACCATTGACCTTATCAAATGTCATTTTGAATGCCGTAAAACTCGCTGCTATTGGTCTCTAGAGTAGCAGAACCCTTTTAAAATGGAGCAATCCTGCTTCTCCATATGACAGTCCATGGTTTTGGCAGATTCTAGGTGAACACCACCTGCCTAAGTACATATTACCAACTGTAAAAGGACGAGGTCTTGGCGACGGTCTTGGTATGATTTGCCTTGTTCAGGCTGAACTCGTCCTACCAGTGGAAAAACCTCTTACCGATACAGCATACAATAGTATTGCAGACTACACTGTGCCTTCTGCTTTGTAGGAGCCGTTTCTCCATGATGGCGTGTACGCCGAATTGGCTTGTGGATCACTTTGGAAGAATATAACTGGCATACACAGTCTTGACCTCAAATCCCACTGCACACCTTCTGATGAACTGCATCAAACCATTGCCTGACCTCTCAGTTTTTAATGCTGAACAGAGACAGACGACCCCCCTGCAACTGTGTTCTGGCATCTAGTGAGGAACAGCCTTCCTAGAGGAATGTTAATTACCTTCATTTTGGAATGAGATGTTCATTAAGCAGGTGTCTTACATGCTTTGAGCTACATAGTGATAGTTTTTTTTCACCCCCTCTTCTTTACGAAAGGAGCTAAATTTGGTGTTTAGCAAGATTACTGGTTTTGAGAACTGTGCAACTCTGTTTAATATGCAACTCACATGAAACTCTTTCACAGACACAGGTTTAGAGTTTGAACTTCAGATTGTAACATTTTGATTGAAGGCTTAAATTATAGATGAGTACAAAAGGATTGCAGTTGCTCAAAAATGTGATATTTCAAGCAAACAATTAGAGGTACTGCCATATCTCTGAAACAGACTCTTTCTGTAGTTAGTACAGTGGTACTCTAACTTACCTAAACACCAAGCAGATATATTTAAAGGGACACTAGACTCAGCAGAACTACTACAGCTTATTGTATTTGTTCTGGTGGGTAGAATCATTCGCTTCTGGCTTTTTGCAGTAAACTGTCTTTTCAGAGAAAATGCAGTGTTTACATTAGAGCCTAGTGATAACTTCACTGGCCACTCCCCTGATGGCTGCTAGAGGTGCTTCCTGGGGCAGTGCTGCACAGCGTGACTGCCATTCAGGATCTCCACTCTCTGCATGGACACACTGAACTTTCCTCATAGAGATGCATTGGTTCACTGATTGGTAAGGGCAGTGTTTGGCTTGTGCTGGCTCTGCCGCTGATCTGCCTCATTGACAGTCTCAGCCAATCCATTTTTATTGGCTCAGAACATACCTTCTGATGATGTCAGCCAAGCCGGTAGATCAGCGGTAGAGCCAGAAGCAGCAGACTGGAGTAAAGGTAAGATTTTGCTATGGTTAGAGAAGAAAGTGGGGACCAGAGGGGTTGGATGGTGGTTTTAACACTATAGGGTCAGGAATACAGTGTTCATTTAAGTAATGAACCCCTATAGTGTTAATTTAAATAATACAGACCTTCTTTTAACATGCCAGAGAGGGGGTAATGTCCTTTTTGTATTGGTTAAATATAGGCCTTGCTTCTATCACTGGATAACCCGTGTAATATGTGAATTATAAAATTCAGAAAATTGGCTTACAGGAGTCTGTAGTAAATTGGCTTTCAATATTAAAAGACCATAAATTAAAGTTTTATTTCTACATTAAATTTTTTAATTTTTAAATTTAAAGTTGGAAGGTGTGTGTTGGAATGGGGAGACAGAGTTGAGTAATTGTGGTTTCAGTTCTATGAAACCAGTATTAAATCTCTTCCAACCTTATCCTACTCCTCCGTAGAACGTGGTAAGAATGGCCATCAGAAATTCATACCAAAAATCTCAGTGTTGCTTTCGTCAATTCTCAGTAGAAAACTCAGCTAAAGCTAAAGTTCCATATCCATTTTCGAATGAACATCTGATTTCTTTGAAGATGCTGCTATTTTTCTTCCTTGACTTGCTTTGGAGCCTGATGTTACAAGATTCAGGATAAAAATAAACCATTATCTCATTTGCCACAGTGGGAAAGGCCTGGTGTACTGTCTCTGTAATCACACTGACAAAAAAATCTCAAACCTTTTTTGTTTAATATGCTGTATAACAAGATGCAGAATTTTTCTGCTGATATCCATAAATCTCAAACTAGATATTTTGTAAGCTTGGTAAATTCTAAATCTCAACAATACATTTACATTTATTTTTTTTTCTCTTTACCAAAGGAGCTAAATTTGGTGTTTAACAAGATTACTCATTTTGAGAACTGTGCAACTCTGTTTAATTAAAATGTAAGATATAAAAAATATTTAATATAATGGCCCCCAATTTTTAGTACCGAAAACTTCCATTGATGGCTGTGTGAATGGTCTGTGAATGGTCTAAGCTCTATTTTTGGGGATGACATATTTTCAGTGCTTCTCCCCTTAATTTGGATAGGAAAACCAGGTATAAAGGCTAATCAAAGTAAGAGGCACATGTGGAAACCAGGAAGTCATATAAATTTTTCTTTTATAATTTGCAGTTTTACTTGGCTTGATTTTATTTATTTTTGGGGTGGGTGTAATTAGACTAAAGTGAACAGAGTGAGGTAGATTTATAAATCACTAGGACTTTATTTAATCTTTCCAAATTATTCAATACTCTAAAAAAACAAAAAAAAGACAACTAATCAAATTATTTACCCACAAAAATTCCCATAAGCTTCAATGAGTCTCAGTCTCAATTGAGGAAGTCTGATGCTGCTGGTAACCTTTGTGGTTAAACCGTTTGAGAATGATGTTGTTATGGTGCCCAAAGTGTTGTTTTCATTTTAATAGTTATTTCCATTTAAGTCCTTGACTTCATGCTTGTAGTATTCTGAGTAGTTAAATGGCAAGCTGTTAATATTTACCTGTGACTTTTTAATTATCTGGTCTGAGACGGACATCTACAAGTCGTGTACAAAAAAAATAAAACCAAAAACCTGAAGTCTTCTGGGTAAAAATTGTGATACTTTGTTTTACATTTTTTTAATTTTTTTTTTTTTTTTTGTGATTCAGGTGCTGCTGTATTGTAATATTATGTTGCCTGTAAAGGAACTCACACTGTGAGAGCTTTGTATTATATTTGGCATATTGCTTTATGAATAACGTGGGTAATCCTGTTGCATTTCTGCCTTTTGTAGTTAAATAGCAGAGTGAGCCAACCAGCATTCTATTGCTTTTTAACTGTATTTGAACTAGAACCAGTGTGTAATCTCAAGTGGTATATTTTTTTTTTTCCATATATGGTTTTTATTGAAATGTCATTGAAGTGGTACATCATAGTATAAATTCAGGTTAAAACAACATACATTGATTTTATCACAGTTGTCTTTAACATTCAGGTGCTGTAATAACCCATGAATTGGCAATGTGCATTCCACAATTCTACATTTCAGTTTTTCTTATAACTTGAGGGATAATGGGGAGGGATACAGAAAGGAAAAAGGGGGGAGGGGGTTGGGGGGGGGGGTAGGGGGCGCATGAGTTCATTTATGTACATTCTGGTAGTTTTGCATATTTTGTACCTTGAGTTGTGGACGTAATGTCATATTATTAATAATAATAAAGCCTGTGATAGTGACCCACACTTCATCTTATTTGGTTAACCAGCTACCCCATTCTTCCTCGAATTTTTCCCCTCGGCCTTGAAGTCGGTAGGCCATATGCTCATAGGAGCTGATCACATCTAGCTTTTGTGTAACTGCCAGTATAGTGGGGGGGGACTTGTTTTTCCATAGTGAGGCTATATTGACCTTCGCTACTGTGAGTATGTTGATAATTACTTTCCTATGGGGTTGTCTCCTCAAGTCGGGTATCATGTGTAATAGGCATTGTGATGGCGTGCATGATAGACTCATTTGCGTAGTTTTTAATATTAGTGACCGCACTTGTGCCCAGTAAGTGTGCAATCCCGGGCATTCCCAGAAGATGTGTAGCATTGACCCTTTCGCTCGTTCACATCTCCAACACATTTCCGATGAATTTTGGTACATTTTAGCCAGCCTCTGTGGTACTAAGTACCACCGCATGATTATTTTACAGTATGCCTCCCACAGTGTTAGGCTTCTGGATGCTTTTTTTTGTCCATGTCATGGCCTCATACCATTGGTCCATGGGAAATGTCGTTCCCAATTCTTTTTCCCACTGATGCATATAAGCTAGTTTTGTTGGAGATGAGGATGGGCCACCTAGGATGGCGTTGTAACAGAGAGACAAAGCTTTTGATTTTGTCGGTGATAGAGCACGATTAAGAGTCAGAGTTGCTGTTTGGGTGTTTGCCCGGAGTTTTATTAGTTTGGTTGCCAGTATATTTTTTACCCTTAGGTATAGGAATAGGTCTCTTGAGTCTAGAGAGTACTGCCTTTTTTTTAGATTAGGGTATGGTTTGACATTGTCTTTCTCCAGTAGGTCCTGCACTGAGTGTATCCCTTTCTGTCCAAGTTTTTACAGTTAGGTCTGGGGATAAAGCCGACAAGGCTTCTATCGGGGCCTCTCTCAGCAATTTATCGGCGGGCAGTAGTGTTGGGCTCCAAGCTATCCAGGAGGCCAGTAAGAACCGCGTGCAGTGTAGTGGCCCTATACTCGTCACTCTGGGGAAGCTGTTGACCCACAAGGTGTACGTTATGTCGTAAGGACGCAGACATGCGTTTTCTAGGGGCAGCCATATAGGGTGATGTTTTGTCAGTGTATGGTTTAAGAGTCGTATCCCCTGTGCCAATATTGTAGCTCTGTAGTACGCCCTGATGTCTGGAAGTCCCAGGCCCCCTTTTATGTAGGGGAGTCCCAGTTTGTTCCTTGCTACTCTGGGTGGTTTTTTCTTCCAGACATGAGCGTTTATCACGCTTTGGAATCTGTTCACCAATTTGTTTGGTAGCGCTATGGGTATCGTACGAAAGAGGTAGATAATTAATGGAAGAATCATCATCTTTAGCGAGTTTATTCGACCTAACCATGAGACGTCTAAAGTTGCCCACTTTCCCAAGTCCCGGTCGATGCGTCGTAGTAGCGGTATATGATTCTCCTGGGGGAGGGCTGGAACTGTTTTCGTCAATTGTATACCCAGGTAATTCAATGATTTGTCTCGCCAGTCAAATTGATATAAGCCTTTTAGGTCCGCGAGTATGTCGTGTGGGAGGTTGATTGGCAACGCCTGTGTCTTAGTGGAGTTGTTCTTGTAATAGGATATTAAACCATACGCTCTCAGCAACTCTAGTAAGTGTGGGATAGATGATTTCGGCTCTACGAGAAAGAGGAGAATATCGTCAGCGAATAGGGATATCTTTTTGGGACCTCCGGGCGTGTCTAGACCCTTGATTTGGGGGTTTTCTTTGATGAGTCGCAGTAGGGGTTCTAGGCATAGTATAAAAATGAGCGGGGACAAGGGGCATCCCTGACGTGTGCCGTTCTGGATGTTAAAGGGCTTTGAGAGAAAACCCGTGCTGAATACTTTGGCTGACGGGGTTTTATAGAGGGCCAGAATGCTGGAGATGAAGAGTGCTGGGAAACCCATTTTAGTCAGTATCTGTTCCATGTACCCCCAGTGTAAGCGGTCGAACGCTTTTTCCGCGTCCAAAGCTAATATCAGTCCTTTTTGTGAGGTGCGGTTTGCCCAATCAATTAGGTTGATAAAGTGTCTGGTGTTATCCCCTATTTGTCTGCAAGTGGTATATTGACGGCACAATTGTGGCCTGCGTTTTGGTTTAATTCGGCCCCACGGGTACTTTGTTAAATCTATACGTTGTGGTCCCGAGTGAATCCCCGAGCGCCGCTGAGAACTTGCAGTCCCGCGGCGCTCAAAGATCCAGAGATTCTCTAGATCTTTGAACGCCGCGGGACTGCATGTCCTCAGTCTGCGTTCTCGCGATCTCTTGGACATCGCGGAAGCTCATCGAAGTCGCAGGATTTGGACAGAGGGAGAAGGGGCGGAATAAAGGGATCTGTATGGTGACGGAATAAAGGGATCTGTATGGTGATGGAATGAAAAGTATACTGTTGGCAATAAACTTTGCATAAAATAGTTAATTTGCATTTAATTTTAATGGTTCAAAGAATGTCAGGCAAAATGGTTGTCTCTCACGCATGTTCACTTTAATCAAATCTAGCCCACTTTAAAGGTTTAGACACCCCTGGGTTAGGCCATCCTACATGCTTATTACCTGTTGCAATAATTTTTTTTTAAATTTCTAAAGATCATTATTGACGGGAAACTTGTTTATTCAGTTGATCTATTGTCCTACACGTATGTATTTATGTATAATACTAAATCCCCTATATATTATCCAAGGTAAGCTTTAGGAGAAACCTGCCACACACAGCAGATGGACATGCAGATGAGAACAGATTTTTAGCTTTCAAGGAGCCTGCTTTACAAGGGGGGTCTATATTTCTATAAAGCATAGTTTGACTGGTATCAACTCTCCTTTGCTAGGTTGCAGCATAGAGCATTTGCCTCCCTGCCAATCAGGGGAGATAAACGTATATCCCTGACTAGACTTGTGCATGTTCTACGTGGTAACAAACTGTCTTTATATAATTTAGCAGCAGAGAACTTTTCTGCACTAACTGTCTGGGATGGTGGTGTGCTCCATTATGCCACATGGATAAGAAAGGGGAGCCTATGAGCTGTCTCTGCACCAGCAACGTGCAGGGACAGCTCCTTTACTTCTTAGTAGTGGATGGGGCTTTATTTCCAGATCTCTCTCTGTTGGCAGTGATTTTGAAGTCCATGTTGGTAGCTGGACCTTAAAAGTTTCTCTCCACTGCACGCCATAGAGCAATACCCACCTGAGGTTAATCTTTACTCACCAAAATAAAATACGCACGCAAGCACTCTCTCTCGCTCCTCTCTCTCTCTCTCGTCCCCTCTCTCTGTTTCTCTGTCTCTCTCTCGTTACTTTATTTTGTGTGTTTTTGACTATATGTTTTAAAAATGTAAATGCACATACTCCCATAATACATAGCAAGCGGAGTGGACCATTTTACCTCTCCATCCATAAACCAGACCGGTCCAAACCTGCGACTGCTGGGGTTTCTGGTAGAATGCTAAAACTGAGAACCTGTAGGCAGAGCACACTACAGACGTAGCTGTAATCCGTACTGTTTGTGGGAGCTGGTTGAGATGCATTTTGTCAGAGGGTGCAGCTTTCTGGATTGAGCCTTGGTTTCTGTGTTCAACCACAAAAATGTCTGCTGCCTTCAGGTGAGAGAACTGCAGCTTTACTAATTTGTTTTTTCCAGGTTGCAGCCTTAAACCTTTCATACATCAACAGCAGGCACATTGTGAGGTTTATCTGGCAACAAGAAACATTTAATCTCAAACTTCGAAGAGAGCAAAGACGTCACATGGAAACTAATGTTGGGGAAATGGCCTAAGCAAAAAAAGCTTCTGTTACTGAGGTGCTTATCAGTGTATCATACTGACGTACGGGACTGTTTTAATGGAAAATCACACCAGCCTGATATATATAATATTTTAAGGCCCAGCTACTAACATGGACTTTTGTATTTTTAAATGTGTGGGGTTTTTTTAATTCTCCTTTTGGAATGTTACGGTGTATGCTCTTCACCTTGTAAATTGCATCTTATCTGTGTAGCAATTTATACTCTAATATTTTGCTGTGGGTGTAAATCATGCATTTAAGTTTCTGTCTTGGGCTAAACTGTTTTAGTTGCAATAGTAAGCAGTGCAGCTCTATTCACCCACAATAAGATCAAAATGCTTGAAATCTGATCCAGTGCGTCTCATAAACTTGGGGTAAAGGGAAACTATAGTGTTAGTAATACAAGACTTCTCTCTGTGCCTTCCCCCTGGCAAATAAAGGGTCAATACCTTCTAACACTTACCAGATTCCAGCTGTGATGTCATTTGGCGCTTGGTCGGGTGGGACTTAACGCACAGCGAGCGCCGCGCATGCATTAAGCCTATAGTGTTCCATTAAGTCATGGGTTTGGGGGCTGTCGCCAGCATGCCATGTATGAAGACAAAAGATTTCATCTGTGCATGGAATTAGCATTAGCCACCTCGGAGCAAGTCTTTCATGGCTGTCTAAATGACGCTGCCAGAGGTGGGGCTATAAGGCGACAAAACTTATTTTCTCTGTATGTGTAGTGTTTAATAATGAATCGCTGCACATGCAGACATCGTGCACCATGGTCACTTCAAATCACTGAGGTTGTCGTGACACTTTGTGTAATCCTTTTAATATCCTTTAATATATATAATTTTTTTTTGTCTTTTTGTCTTTTTTTTGTCTTTTTTTTGTCTTTTTTTTGTCTTTTTTTTTTGGCATTTACTGATTAATAATTAGTTTGCATGATGATTACTCTCTAATTATTGCCATCGTTTCTTCAAGACTTTTGTGAGTAACCCGGATCTGGAACGGTATCAAAATATACTGTTCTCCTTTAAGAAATTGTATTTCTTTTTTGAGTGGTCCAGCACTAACATGTTAGACTGGAATAATGATAAGACCTTTCCAGGACACACTTGAAAGCAAGTGAATTTTCAATGTATTCTTCCTGGAAAACAATTCATAAATAAATAATCCTCTCCCGGCAGTTTTCATAGAAATAAAATTTACCTAATGGAAACTTAATAGCAACCACAACATATTGCAGTTCGCATGCAAGAGTTGAAATCTAAGGAAGGCTGTAGTTTCAACGTCTCCAAAACCTCATATCGTACCTCCTGATGTTTTGCGATATGGAATTGACAAGGGAAGAGATCTGATCAGGGGGGCCAGTGGCAGTAAAGGAATGCTTTCTGGTGGTTGAGCAGTTAGAAGAAAGAGTTTTATTCTGGTGTGCATGGCAGCTCTGTATGCTACCCTTGCATAGAAATGTTCTCGCATAAGCAGAAATGGCCTGCATTGGCTTTGCATAGCCTGACCATCATAGGCGTGTGCAGCCTATTGCATTAGGGTGTGCACCCTAAAGCACAAGCCGTGTGTGTGTGTTTGTGTGTGTGTGTGTATATATAAAAAAATAAAATCTGGTAGTGTGTGTGCGTGCTTGTGAGGGTGCTGTTAATGTATTGTGTGTGTGTGTGAGGGTACTGGTAGTGTGCTGTGTGTGTTTGTTTGGGTTGTGTTTGTGAGGGTGCTGTGTGAGTGGGTGCTGTGGTGTGTGTGTGTGTGGGTAGATTACTTAATATCCCCCCTCCCTTCTTACTTTATGTAGGTAGGGGGGATTCTTGTTCCTTGCTGCCTTCCCTGGAGGTCCAGTGGAGGTGGGAGCATATTATTTAATATCTCCGCTGCCTTCTTACCTTATGTAGGGAGGGGGGATTCTTGTTCCTGCTGCTAGAGTTCACTCTCGCAAGATCTGAGCGTTGCTGCAGGCAATAGCTCCCCGGGTCCTCTCCTGCCTCCCTCCGTGCCGGTGGGTCGGAAGCTGAGAGCAGGGTTGGAAGCTGAGAGCAGAGCCAGCGCTCGGATAGCGCCGGCTCTGCATGAGCTGACAGGGGAGATCCTAAGATCTCCCCTGCCGGTCTCAATACATAGGCGTGCCGTGGGGATTAGGGTGTGCCCAGGCACACCAGGCACACCTCGTGTGCACGCCTATGCTGACCATGCTAGAATTGAGATCCCAAAGCAGGACTGTCCCACTAGATTCGAGACAGTTGGGTGGTGGTATACTCTGATCATGTTTATCAAGATTCTATTCCGAGAAGAGATAAAAATCCTGCAGCGTGCGTGTTCCTGCCAGGGCAAAGGAAGGCTAAATATCTATGCAGAAAGTAGAGTTTTGCAGATTACCTTATTTGCCCAATAAAGTGATTATAGTTTATTTTTACATCAGAGTTGCAGGCTTGCCGATAGAAAATGGAATATGTCTGCAGATGTAGACCTTGCTCTGGTTGTCTTTGGCAGCGTGCCCATGATCTAAACCACTTGGTATCTGCTTGTAATAGCAGAGCTTTAATGAAAAATGTATCTATTATTTTTCTTTAGTGCACTTCACAAACCTTCCACTGGTATAGACGGACAACCCATTATGCTTCCCACTTTGCTTACGTAGTGTTAAGAGTTATGCCAACCAGAAACTGTGTTTTAATAAAATACGGTTTTACGTTAAGAAGTAAAGGAGGATAACCTGTACTATAATGCCAAGGCCAAGTTCTCTCTCAGACCCATCCTCCTTTAGTGATGTCCCTCCCCCCTACTGCAGGACGTCCTGGATCACCGCTTAATGGAAGGACTTGGATGGCATGGAGTTGGGGGGCCACGCAGCCATTGGTCATGCTGTGTGAACTGACACAAGATGCCAGGTATGCACTAATTTAACATTAGCCAAACCAAAACTCTAATTTTGGGATGGATAATGATGCTGCTGGAAGTGGGTTTACCCTTTTGGCAGGAAAGGTGGCCTTAACCCTGTATGGGCAGAGTTTCAAACCAAAACAAAGCACGAATAGGCTCCAGCAACCATGACGGGGTTAAATCGCTGAAGTGGTCATGTTGCTGAGAGGAACCCTTTTTTTTTAGGATACATAATTGTTCTCCTGTTTCGAATTGAGCACATGCCAACAAAATAAAGTGTAATTGAAAAATAATTCTGTAACGTTGACATTGCAAAAGCTTCTTCTTGCATTAACTTTTTATACAATATTTCCAAGCCCCCATCTTCTAAGCTAAAACCCCATGGAGTTGCATAGCACTAAAGTGGTTACATTTTTTTTTAAATAATTCATCCTCTTTGCCTAGCAAGCTATAGAATTCTGTTGCTGTGATAGCATTGTTACCGAAGGATTGAACTCCAACTCCAATGATGCATGGCCGACCAATTTTGCAGTCTGCTACTGAGCCTCTTTCATTTAAAGGAACATCAAAGCGTTTAGACATGCACTCCTAAAACTATAGTGTTCCCCTATCTATAGAAGGTGGCTTCCCCCTGCTGTAAGTGTATAAAGGAGTTTTCCCTGCCATTACTCCCTTGCTGAGGTCACCCTGCCTCTTTGGCTGATGATAATCAAGATTGATGATCTCAGCCAAACCAAAGTTGTCCCATAGGAAACATTGGAAGCATAGTGTGCATGCGTGCAAAAATCACCTCTCTTCTCCCACTTAAATGGTCTCTGAGACTATTTGATTGTATAGCAGTGTTTATCTTGGCTATGGAGGAAGCACCCCTAGTGGCCATCAGGAAGAGAGCACTAGAGGTGCATTTAGCCTATCCATGTAGACCTCGCTGTGTCTACAAAACTGCAATGTTTTACATGGAAGGGTTAAAATGACTGGAGTTCTGGAAGTGGCCTGTTAGACTTTGGTAATCCTATATCCTGCTGGGCAGTATTTTCTATGCCAACCTACTTTCTGTTAGAAGAACAACTAACACAGGTGTGTCTGGTAACATTTAAACCCTTTATGGTTCATTCTTTATTCCAGCCGGAGACTAACAATTCTTACATTCATGGGATTAAGCAGGTTGCAACTCATCTGTGTGGTTAAAATCTTCATCCACTCGTTATTGTCAGTATTGTCTTTTATTTACAGCCATTATTTAATAGGAAGGAAGCTTTATTATAAGAATGAGGAAGTTCTCCTGGTTTCTGTCTTGATTATTGAAACAAACCAGAGTTTTATTATCAATATGTGAAAAATCACTGGTGACTTCTAAAATTTTCTGGGAACTCCACAAAAAATTATATTTGTGAACTTTCTCATGGTACCATAATCCCCTTGCTCCACCATGTTTTCCACCGCGTTTGCAGACCTATATTTGCCACCGCAAGCAGAAAGGAAAAACCATATAGTAATAAAATAAATAGAATTGTTTATTTTTAATTATGCTAATTTACAGGTGTTTAATAATGGCCTCTTTGGCTAAGGTTAGCAAAATAAAGCTACGTGAAATTTAACTAATTGGGATGAAGGTACAGACTTATCATTGCAGGCCATACATTTGTTGTTGTAAAATATTTGTTTCAAAGTTTGTGGTGTGTTTGTTTTTTATTATATGTTTTAACTTTAATTAGAAGGTGTACATGGCCAAACTAGTGGACAAAACCGTAAACCAGATGATTCCAACTACATAGTTCATAGACCAATTGTGCTTCATGAAGTGAGTATCATTAAGTTGGGGTAAGAATATCTAGATCCAACCGTCAACATCAGGTGAAGGCAACCTTCGGCACTCCATATAATGCTTTGCCAGTATTATGGCTTTAAAAGCATGATGGGAGATGTAGTCCACAGCATCAGAAGTGCCGATGGTTGCCTGCCCTGATCTCGATACGAACAGTCTAGATAAGTGGTTCCCAATTAATTTTTCCAGTGGAACCCTTTGACGTAGTGTATCAACATCGTAGAATCTCCCCCCACAAAATAAAAAATGGTGCCGTTTTTTGTATGTGCTGGTGTGTCAAGGTGTGTACATCTGTGCTTGTATGTGCCAGTGTGTGTTTATCGGTGTATAAATCTGACACCCACAGACACACACAAACACTGTGTGTGAATCTGACACACATACACACTCGCAGATAGTGACACACAGTGTGTATCTGTGTCTCAGGGTGTGTGTATCTGTGTTTGTATGTGCCAGTGTGTATCTGTGTGTGTGTATGTATCTGATACAAGCACACACACGCACAAAGTGGCACACAGATGCACATCTTGACTCACAGATATACACACACACACAGTGACACATACACAAACCTTGACACACAGTCTTTGACAGACACACACATACACTCTCACTGACACACACATCCTCTTTTTGACACACACAGACACATACAAACTCCCTAACAGACACACGTACACTTTTTTAAATTTTTTTTTTTTACATTTTACTCCAACCAGCCCCCCTACCTTTAGGAGTGCTGGCATTGAGTCCCTTGGGTCCAGTGAGGCTGCTCAGCATCTGACGTGCTGAGCGTGCAGTCCCAGGGGTCCAGTGGGCCTGGCGTGCGGGTGGCGAGGGAGCAGTGATCTCCCTGCTCCGCTCCCTCCCGCTCTTCTTAGTGATGCCGGAGCAGGAGTGACATCATATTCCGGCTCCAGCATCACTGCTCTGCGCGCGAGGGAGCTGAGCAGGGAGATCACTGCTCCCTTGCCGCCTGCGGCCATTTTATTTTTTAAACTTTTGGCAGAACTCCAGTTGGGAAACGCTGGTCTAGATGAAAAGATAAGTGTACTTTACCTTAGCTAAATTTTTTTTACCTGAATTTAACTTATGCCACAACTCCTGATGTGAATTGCAAACATTTATAAAAGTTCACAAGAAACCCAACACATTCTAATAATAATAATTTTGGAATGTTTACAATCTTCTGACTGATCGCAGAGATGGTTAAAGGTCCATGTTTGTTCCTGTATCTTTAATAGATTACTGTCAATTGTTTGGGATTGGTGAAAATCACATGTCATTTGTGTCAACCTATTTTCATGTAACTCTTCATTTTCAATTCCGTTTTTATTAAATCCCAGGCACAGCCAAAGCACACCATGTAAATGTTGAGGATAAATAGAAACATTGTTTCATTTCTCCTCTTCTCCATATGCTCTCTCTATTCCAAGTCCCAGGTTACAAGGGGCAAAGCTTAAAACAACGATTAACAGGGAGTCCTGATGGAGTGCTCATTTGCAGAGGTGTGGGTTTTGAATTTACTTTTTAACAAATATGTATTTGTGCGGTGTAAAAGATCTGTTAGAAGAAATATACATGGAAGTCAGTTCTCCTTAAAATCATATTACATTTTTTTTTTTTTTTAAACGGAGTCAAAACTAAGCGTTTTGTGGGGCACACACATTCTAAAACTTAAAATATTTAGAATAAAATTAGCTTAAAACGTGGTAAAATGTATCTGCATGATGGTGTTGTGTAAATATATTGTGCGTGGAATTTGCAGTATTTTTCTAACAGCAAAACAGCTTTGTAATCTGAGTAGCCTGCAGAACAGAGGATCCTCTATTCTACAGGCCAGGGATGTGATGTTTTGTCTGACGAGCATGCCTTAGTGCCATAAGATTAAGTATAGCCTGGCTCTGTCATTCTCCTTGGAACTATGGTGTGTCTGGGAGTGTTTGCGTCTGCTGCAGAGAAAAGGAAGGCTTTGTAAAATGTGCCAACCATTATACAAAGAAAACCACAAACCGTTCATTTTTCTGTCTCTGACCAGGTTAGCTACTTCCTGAGGATGTAGTGTTTTGTAGGATTTAGGAGTCAGAGCAACATGGGTGAACCAATTCTCAGTGTAATTGGCTTCTGTCTCTTTAAGAGTGTGAAACGCAAATGGCTCTTTTAAATTCTGCTATAAAAATACACTGTCGTGCTGCTACTTCGTCAAGATTGAGGTTTAGAACCTTGTAACGGTGGCATGAACCGAGGTTGAAAATTGTGCATTAAGAATAGAACTTTGTAAATTCATTTAAGGTTATTGACTAACTTTTTTTTTTTTTTTTCATGACTCAAATTTGTGTGGGAGGGTTACTGAGCAATGCCCTCTATATTGGCAGTAGAGAAACGAAAAAAAAGATTTGGGTTACAAGAAGAGGGTTTAACAAAACTCCCCCAAAAAAGTGGGCAAAGGATTTGTACCTCTATGGTCCTCACTATATAATGAAGTAATTAACCAATCACACCCAGGGATTCAGGGAAAATATCGCTAAAGAGAATGTTCTAACAAGGTTTTTGTTTGCTTTCTTTTTGGGAGGGGGTGGGGAGTGGTTCTTTTTCTTGTTTACTAAATGATGAGCACAATGTTTTATTGCACAATGTGGCTATCCCATCTTGCTTCTGTGTCGTATTATTTTAATATTGTTTACGCTTACAAATCTAAAGGTTTTCGATTTCAATTTTCATTTTGTTGTATTGTAGGTCTAAACAATGGTGGATGGTGGTATGGTTCTTCCAGTTCTCATCATGGTGGCTCTTGCCTCTCTCAGCTTGGAAGGTAGGTAAACACTTAACATGTTTACATATCCGTGTTTGGTATTTAAAGCTGCCAAGTCACCTGGGAAAAATCTTTTAAACATCGCATCAATGCAGCATAACAAAATATTTTTTACAACTTTTTTTATTTTTTTACTTTTTATTATATATATATTATATTATATTTTTTAATAGACAAATGTATGGAATGCATAAAAGAACACATTTGCACCTTGTATGCCAATAATATATCTAAACTTATTTGGGGGAAAAAAAACATTTGTTTTCTGTTCCTGACATGGCATATACTGTGTATTTATACCTTTTTACGAGTTGTGATGGGGAGCATTGCATTGTGAGTGCCACATGTTTGAGCATGTGAACAAAGTGTTTAAATATAGCGAGACATGCAGACCTAATACGCTACACTGATTACACTCTTAGGCTTACTCACGATAGTGGGAATTGTTCTCATATCAAGGTGAATTTCAAAATCGCTGACCACATAATTGACTTGGAAAGTTTTTCCTGTTTGCCGATTGTGAGCTAAAGTTTGAAATTCACATCGATTTTACAACAATCCACAGTTTGAATAACTCTGTATACATTCAGAAATAGATATCGAGGAGTTACATACCAACATCATGTATACTGTAAGCTTGATAACTGACAAACTTCAATAAAATCAAGCCCAATTACCTCGAAATATATAACTAATTAACTCTTCAATAGTCCTTGACTATACAATATGTCTCCCTCTGCATTTTTTGGCAGAGAATGTGTGAATTCAGTACAACATAATTTATTTGTATCTGATTCTAAAAACTAGTCAGAACAGCTAAAATATGCTCACACCCTTGTTTCACCACCGTTTATTGCAAAGTGAAAATGGATGCAGGTGCCACTCCTACATTTTTTTTTTTTTCGTACATTTTTAACAAGTACATGTCGATTCAACCTATTGTGTTGCTAAATAAAGACCTGTAGACATAGGTGAGGTTTAAGCAGTCAGACTCTTGCAACATCCGTCTTTTTAATGCTTTTAACACGGCTCTTCAGATGTCTCCTAACCACATTTAAAACTCCCTGGAAAAGGCAATTGTTTGCAGAGCTGTTAATAGTGTCTTAATAATAATGTAATGCATGGTGATGCAAATTACTGGTAAGGGACGAATTCTCAAACAGTCCCCGATCTGGTGGCTGTGTCTCAATTTAAGACCAGAGTCACATCATTCCATTAGTTTCAGTTAAGAATTCCTAAAATGCTGATTTGTATATCGATTGTTAGCTCACGGACAGGGCCCTTAGCCTTTTGTATTGGTCCATTTATATTGTGTTTTTTTTTTCTCAATTGTACAGCGCTCCGGAATATGTTGGCGCTTTATAAATTACAGTAATAATAGTTTGCTTTATTTTGTATACCTATAGATCTGGATGGCCAACTGAATTTCTTCCCGTTCAAGTGGCTATTTAGGGGCAGTGTTAAAGGGATCCTTTAGTGCCAGGAAAACAAACCCGTTTTCCTGGCACTATAGGGTTAACAGGTACCCACCTCTGTCTGGGCCCCCCTTCCGCTAGGCTGAAGGGGTTACAACCCCTTCAGCCACTTACCTTAATACAGCGCCGGTCTCCGTCGGCGCTGGTGACCTCTTCTCCCCCGCCGACGTCAGCTCCCAAGTGGATCCGAACGCGCATGTGGAAGCAGCCTGGATTAACCCTGCAATGTAAACCTAGCAGTTTCTCTGAAACTGTTATGTTTTCAGCTGCAGGGTTAAAACTATGGTGACCTGGCACCCAGACCACTTCATTGAGCTGAAGTGGTCTGGGTGACTATAGTGGTCCTTTAAGGTGTAAATAAATGTGTGTTTTCAGCATGTTTAATAACAAGCAATGGAAGCTGGGCGTATACTTTTCCCTAAGGGTTTATCACATTCTTCTCATATATCCTCTAAAAGACTGGGTAAGCCAGTCCACTTTTTTTTTTTTTTTTCTTTAAATCCCAAGTAAGCTAGATTTACCTCCCTATTCACAATACGGAGAGATGTATGTAATTATTCTCACTTTGTTTTGTGAATGGAAAGCTATTGATCGGCTGAAAACGTTGTCAGCTGACATCCTCAGTCTGTTGGTGGCATCCCTGTCTGAGACGTTCTGATCCATTCCTTGAATGGGAACGGAAGAAGATGGACAGTGAGATCAGGTGCCAGACTCAGTACTCTGAGGTTAAATAGTTTTATTAACCCTTGAAACCCTTGAAACCCCTTCTGATATAGCCACTTCATTTCAATTATGTTTTTATGGTACACAGAGCGTCCCTTAAATTATATAAAGATCTGACAAATTAAATAGTCCAGCAGAGACAGGCAAAAACAGGGCAGGAAGTTTTGAGGAGAAACCCAAACATTGAATTTTTCCTTTTTACTGGAGGCTTTCTCTATGCAGACTGCAAGGACTGAGGTTTATAACAATGACTGACCGGAAGCTACGATGTATGTGCCTTGGTCAAGGATAAAGAGGTGTGGACTTATTTTTTCACACCTCGCAAATACAAATGTGTTCATATAAAAATAAGGATGACTAAACATGTGATTAAAAATACAAATAAACATGTGATATGACAATTCTCCCCTTTTTTTTTTTTTAATTTGATTTTTGTTTTGTGTGTGTGCTTTTTTAGAGGTTTTTTGAATGTTACAATAGATTCTGTAAATTGCAACGGTGATTACCTTGTTCTCAACCCTGTAAAAATACTATATTTTCTTTACAGATGATGACCTAAAAGTCCATCCAGGGGGATACAAGTGTGTTTGTGAAGGAATGTCTTGCGGAAATGGCGACCACTGTTATGGGCAGCAATGCTTCTCCTCACTCAGTATAAACGATGGCGTTATGGTTTACCAAAAAGGCTGCTTCCAAGTTTACGAACAAGGCAAAATGACATGCAAAACCCCTCCGTCTGCAGACCAAGCTGTGGAGTGCTGCCAGAGTGATCTCTGCAATCTGAATATCACCGCACAGCTCCCTAGTAAGGAGGGAATCCTTATCATTGTTTTGTTGGTATCATACAAGTCTTTAATCTGTAACACATGAACAGATTAAACTATGCTGGGAATTGTTCATTAAATTTCATAACTTGGGCTAAAACTTTTTTTTGTAAAATCCTCCAATTTAAATATTTCTGTAGCTCAAATATTTATTTTTTATAAAAAAAAAAAAAAAAAATGCATTTCACACCATTCCCAGTTGAGTGCATAACTTTGTTTTGGTTCCGTCTCTAGATTTGGTATGTGATCACTCAGATTCTAAGTCTAGATTTAGTACAACTTGCTCACCAGCTTTCCATCCAAACAAAAGAAAGGCTACCGACATACGTTCTACAGGTCTAACTGTTGCTATAGCTATCTCGCGCACCTGTCAGACGTGCCTAACCTGCTTACATTAGAAAGCATTAAAAAGGCAAAATGAAACGAGGAACTGCCAGATTGATGTCATTGTTTGAGAATGTTCCGTGTTTCTACAGTTCTATTCTAGAACCAACCCTGAATTTACTCTACAATGCACAGGTTTTTTGTTTGCTTGCTTGTTTGCGTATCTCTGTATCAAAACTGGCAGACCAATGTCGATCAACTTTCTGGCTAATAAAAACTTCAAATTCAGTGTGTTAGTGGGGACATAGATACCCGCTAACACACGGAATTATCTAGACATACATTGATACCCGCTAACACACTGAATGCTCTAGACATATAGTGATTCCCGCTAACACATGGAATTCTCTAGACATACATTGATACCCGCTAACACACGGAATTCTCTAGACATGCATTGATACCCGCTAACACACTGAATTATCTAGACATACAGTGATACCCGCTAACACACGGAATTCTCTAGACATACGTTGATACCCGCCAACACACGGAATTCTCTAGACACATTGATACCCGCTAACACATGGAATTCTCTAGACGTACATTGATACCCGCTAACACACGGAATTTTCTAGACGTACATTGATACCCGCGAACACACTGAATGCTCTAGACATACATTGATACCCGCTAACACACTGAATGCTCTAGTCATACATTGATACCCTTGCTTTTACGCCATTTTGTGCTTCTATTACAGACACAATATAAAGCAGGGTCGAATAATCTCACAGATATTAAACTACATCTCCCATGATTCCATCTGAGACATTGGTTGGAAAATGGAAGTTGGTTTCTAGCATAGTTTAGTCAGCAACAATTTAACACCCCTGATCTAGCCTACTAAATTGAATTTATTTTGGTTGCTGTGCGTAGCACTGATTGCTTAGTTTTTGATTTTTGTTTTGTGTTATTATTATTACTTAGTACCCTGCCCCAGCATTCTTTCAATTTTGTGTTGATCATTATGGCACAAAGCATTTTTATATGAATTGTTACACACCGTTGCTTTTTATTGTGATTGCCTCCAAATGAGTATTACATATTTTTTTGGTATTTATTTTAACTATTTATTTTATTTTCTTACAGAGAGGCAGTTGAGAGAAAGCACAGTGAGTTATAGCGTGGAGACTCTAGCCATATTTGTCATGGCTCCTGTGGTCGTGCTAGTCATTTTTTCTGTTGTAGCGGTGGTAGTCTGCAGAAAAATTCAGCAGCGCAACATGGAGCGCCTGAGTACACGTGACGCGGAATATGGCACTATTGACGGTCTCATTGCATCCAATGTGGGAGACAGCACCCTTGCTGTAAGTATTCAGAATTCTGCTGTACTTTTCATAGTATTTATTAAATGGTTAGGAAAATGTTGAAATGGAAATGTTTAAAAGTGCACCATAACCACTACATCTCATTGTAATGGCTATGTTGCTGGGAAGTCATACTTAAAACTGTTTTCACATAGTATGACAAAAGTGTAATAATTTGGGTTGTCTCCATTATCCAAGCCCGTACTCTGTCATATGTGAGCTTAGTTTATCATTATCTGGGTCCCTTTTAGTGCAGTCTTGGCCAAATGTAGATGCCAGCTGGGGATCTATCATTTGCCCATCCTTGCTGGGCTGTATTTGTGAGCAGTGTTTGTACGTGTATGGACTGTGTGTGTGGATGTAGGGATTTATTTGTATTGACGGTTACCATTTGAATGCAGGGGTGTGTTTGTGGTGTTGGCTTTTAAATGCAGGGGTGCATAGTGTTGGTGTATGAAGGAAAGGTTGTGTTTATAATGGAGACGTTTTAATGCAGGGGTGTGTTTGTATGCAATGTTTGCATTTGATTGCACGGGTGTATTTGCATGTAGTGTTGCTGTTTGCTGGGATGCATGCACATTAATATTGGTACCTCCTGGAAGCATTTTAAATCTCTGTATGTTTTGGCAGGATTTGTTGGATCATTCCTGTACGTCAGGAAGCGGATCTGGGCTTCCTTTCCTGGTGCAAAGAACAGTAGCACGGCAGATTACACTTGCAGAGTGTGTCGGTTAGTAGTTTTTGGTACAGTATGGTAGTTAATCACTAAAAACACACACACACACACACACACACACACACACACACACACGTAAAGAGAGCATAGATAGGACTTTGTAGTGAAATAAATGCTGCTTTATTGAATATTGAGACTTGTATATTATTATAGTTTTTGATAAAAGATCTGAATTTATAATGAAACGTTGCTTATTCTGTGTTTATGTACTAGCCTGTTTCAATAAAGCAGTGTTTAGAAGTCCTGGAGTGCTCTCTTTAGTGTGCTGTCTCTGGAGGTGTTTGCCTGTGACAGTAGACTGAAATGAGACTGCGTTCACAACACTCATAAGTCAACCCATTTGTTACTGGTGGCAATGCAGTCTGTGGGAAACAATATACAGTAAAATATGATGGCACACCTTAAATCTCCCTCAGCCTGCATCAGTGTTCATAACCCAGCAGGGCAAAATTTGCCAGCTCTACCCTGTTTTTATAGTTCTAAACACAACAGATTGAGAATTTCAAAATAGTCACTTGTCATAATTTGTCACGAGTGGTAGAGCTAACTTATTTCAAGTCATATTATCACAGAACAAATCCTTTTTAGTTTTATGACTATACCTCAAAATGTTTTCCTGCCAACACTTCAACGCAGGGTATTTTATCACATTTTTGGCAGGAGGATATCCTGGCATGTAGTGATGATGTAAAAGACATTTAGTCTTTAGCACTTTGAAATGTGAGCTCTTCTGCCAAGAGATTCTCTTTACAAAGCTGATGTACAAGTACTGCGAATAGTTGCTGTCTAATATAAACAGCCGATAAAACTTGTGTACATTGTAGGGCCAAACCTCTATTGGTCACGTTAGGCCCAGCACTAGTTGGAGAATGTAATGTAGTAAATGGTGAAACTTATTCGTAGTGGGAATTAGCTGTAATGTCTTTTTTAAAGATGTACTTTTTGTGAGCAATTACTTTGAAATTAAAAGATAAAATATTTATCCAGTAAACCCCGCTGGCAGAATTTTATGGGATTAGATCTGACCACAAAGACAAAATTAAGAGATTCCTAGTGGATGGATCTATGCAATGCATTCATATATGTGGGATTATTGTTTGAGTTTATAGAGCTCTTTTTATTCTGAACTTTATAATTATACAATGAGGATATTTAACAAAAAGTAATCAACATACACACATATTGCTGACACTGAAAAGGTGAAGAAGGTCATGCTCAAACTTGCTTAGTCTACGAGGTTGTTACTTCCTGCCGATGTTTTGTCTAGGTGGAACAGCACATCTAGAAGTTTTTTTTTTTTTTGAGTGGGAGTTGTATAGCTCTGCTTTTACTTGTCATAACACTTCCAGCAAATTGATGCAATTTTTCACCAGATATGGTCCTACACTCTAGATGCAATAGGGCGAAATCATCAAATGGTTTTTTTTTTGGTTTTTTTTTATCACAGTTTGGACCGAAAAAAGAACATAAAAAAAACTTCTCTCCTCTTTTTATCCAGGAAAAGGCCGATATGGTGAAGTGTGGCGTGGTCAGTGGCAGGGCGAAAGTGTTGCAGTAAAGATCTTCTCGTCGCGAGACGAAAAATCATGGTGTCGCGAGACGGAGTTATATAACACTGTGCTGTTACGCCATGAAAATATACTGGGTAAGAAAATGCATCTTGTGTGTCTGGGTGCATGATAACGCTGGGGGTTATTTGATAAAGTGTGAATGGTGATGAGTTCATAAATAAATTGGAGAAATTTGATCCACATGGGCGAATTGGGGAAAAGAGCTAGATTACATTCTCTAGTGGAGTATCTCTCCGGCTAGGCTAAGTCAGTTCTGATAGTCAATTGCCTTATCATGAATAGTTCACAATTTGTAAATAAACCCCAATCAGTTCCGGATTTCACTTCCTAAACACTGCAGACGGAACACTGTGCTATCGCTAAGGTCAGAGGATTCCTGGCCTGCGCTTTGAGAATGCTAGTAAATGGTTGTATTGGGACAGTGAGGATTTAATTAGTCTGTCCCACATTCTCACCAGATGGTCATAGCTGATGGGAATGTGAGACGGCTGCATGTTTTAGTATCTGTTTAGTAGCAACTGCTGTCAATGGAAAAGTACTCGTGAGCAGCTTTCCAGGCCTGTTAGTGTTGTCTGCTTTGGGCCTGTTGTAAGCAATACTCTGCACTCCAGCTGCTGTGGATGACATTTCCCATAATGCTAAGCCATACAATTCTCGTGGATGGGCAGGTGTTGGGCTAACGCTGCCAGGCAGGGACAGTTTGATTGGGACGTAATGGAAAACCGCCCCATTTTATGCACACACAATACTGTCTTGTCTGCATTTGAATGGTTGTAAAAATTAAATGTATAAAATAGGGTTATATGATGGCCATTTTTGATCCTTTCCTATAAAGATTTCAGTTTTGTTTTAAACTTTTACTCTCTCCAGCCTGGTTTTTTGTTTGTATTGTTTTTTACATTCGTTTATCTTGCTGTGATACAGTGCACGGACATTGTGTGTTGTGATTGTGTGCGTTCTGTAAATCTTCTTTCCTGTAGTCACAACCCTTGATAACACGGACAATGGCTTGTGTGTACATTGCTTTTAAAGTGTAACCTTTTAAGAAAGCTTAGTGCAGACTTCCTAGTTGGAAAAACTCAAAACTAGCAAAGTTGGGGACAACATACTGTTCTCTTCCCATTAAACTTTTAGAATGTTTTAGGTAATCAGGGTTTTTACAAAGTATATTAACATCCTATTTGCTAGTAGACTTTAGCTTGAAATGTTCCTTAGACAAAGTAAAAAACACCCATATTCGCAGTTTCTAAAGTGGTTGTGGTAGTGGGGAAAAAAATGGATATTCCTTTAAATACTTTTTCTTTGTGGACTAGTTCATTTGTATTCTTCCATGACTGCAATTTCTTTTCTTTTCTTTTTTTCCCCTGCTTTTTGTTTTTGAAAATTTTACATTCCAGACATGCATTTTTTTTTCTTCAACTATGACATATAGTTATTGTAGACTGTAAATTGTGTATGTCTGCATGTTCAGACAACACTGCAAGGCAGAATGACTGTTATTCTGTGTTTAAAATATGTTGAGCATGCATTTCTGGATACTTTGCCATCTAAAGTCAGAGCAAGGAGCCGTAGGTTTGGGTATTATTCTATGTAGCATATTGGCTTCAACTTTTCTTAATTATTTTATGAGAGGTTATTTTGTGTCTATGCAGGTACCTTTCTTTCGAATATCCCCCGCCCCCGTTTTAATGGCAGATTAAGTTTAATAATGCCAATTAATGTTAGCTTGAGAGTCGAAATGTGTTTCTACTTGTGAATTGTCACGTTGTGCATTTGACTAAGCTAAACAAAGCTGGTGAGCTTCCATGTGGGATTAGTTGTTGTAATGCTTTTTTGTGATGTTAAGCATGACTACATTTTATATTGTTGATAAACATTCATACAAATTTTTTTTTTACTTTTATTAACCTTTTACTTGTGTAGCCCATATTCTGCTGACCGATTTTGTTATTTTGTCTGTGGATTTATTTATAAATCATGGATACAGATTATGTACACGGCATTGACTTGCAGACCCATTCTACAATTGAAAAATATGCTTAAAGGGGTACTATAGGCAATATAACCATTCCATTTCATTGAAATAGTTTGTGCCTGGAGTCCCCTAGCAGTCTGTCGTCCATTCAGTGTTCACACTGTTCAGATGTTTTAAAACTGAATGACTGTCTCCCACAGGAGATATGGATGAAGCTGCCATACCAATTTATACCAGTAGTGGTTTACTGTGATAGGCTATAAGCAGTCAGCCAATACAATCAGCCAATCAGAGCAGTCCTTTACTGCTCAGGCTAAAGCTTCCTCATTGGCATAAGCAGCACAGAGGGGATGGGCTGCTGAGGACCCTCACATAGCATTAAACTATTTTAAAAGGTTTAACACCGAAAGGAACGATGAAATTGGTGTCTATAGTGTCCCTTTTAATAGCATTCTTCAAGATTGTTATTCATTTTGAATTAGGCTCTTACCAGTGGTCTCTATTCCATTGGGGCTGGTTACATAATTAGAGTAAGAAATGTAGATTCCAGTCTAGAGTTTAAGAACCAATGGGATATTCTCTGTGCTAATTACATAATAAACATTGATTGTAATGGAAAATGTAAAGGTCATCACAGACTTATATTCTCTTTGTAACCTTTTTGCAACAGTTTATTTTTTAATTTCATTAGGTTGGCTGAAAGCATTTTAATGTCTTGCAGCCAGAATAATGTTGAAATAAATGTTTTGTTTATGACGGTGTTTTTCTATTTAAAGGTTTTATTGCGTCTGATATGACTTCTAGAAATTCCAGTACGCAGTTGTGGCTAATTACTCACTACCATGAGATGGGATCTCTCTACGACTACTTGCAGATCACCACTTTGGATACCGTGGCCTGTCTGCGGATTGTCTTGTCCATAGCCAGCGGCCTGGCTCATTTACATGTCGAAATATTTGGCACCCAAGGAAAGCCTGCTATTTCACACAGGGATCTTAAGAGCAAGAACATCCTCGTCAAAAAGAATGGACAGTGCTGCATTGCAGATTTAGGTACGTTGGCCTTCTTGTAGAATAGCATAGAAGTAATTATCCCAGAAAAACTCTATTGTAATGGACATGAAGGGTTTAAATCAAATGACAACAGAACTGCTTTTCATAAGGGACACTTTGGGACATCAGGAGCGTGGAAGGTAAAAATGTAGTTAAGAATTCTTCATTAATATAGAACTGTATGATAAATATTGATACTGATGATATAATCACTCTGATTCCTCGCTTTCATTGGGCTTAGAACTTCTTAAATGGAATCCTCACAATTATCAAAATTGCACAGAATTACAGTAGTACACCAAAAGGTGCCCCAAAACAGCTGGAGAGTAGAATGTTATATCTCTATCTGATACTGGTGGCAGGTGGAGGCCCTACAATTATGGTAGCAGTGGAACTGTTGGGAATGAGGGGAGTATACTGAAAACCGATGAAGTTCCTTTGCAAAGCAGGGGAAAAATAACATTTTTGGTAAGTATACATCTCTTGTAAAATTTTGTTAAAGTTTAAAAATGGGCAACAGGTTCACCTTGATACTTTTTCTCTCTCCTCAAATACTCTACAGCATTACAAAATAGCCTGTAGTGTTGGAAGAATTTAAATAATCACTTTAGTGTCAGGAACACAAACATGTATTCCTGATCCTATTCCTTAACACCACCATCTAGCCCTCCATCTAGCCCTCCTGGGCCCCTCATGCCTCCATAAATATAGTAAAAATCTTACTGTATTCAAGCCTGAAGCTGTAAATCTGCATGCTGTTAGACTCAGAAAAACAAGCAGTCTGCTGACATGTGGTAGCCTGATCCAATCACAATGCTTCCCCATAGGATTGGCTGAGACTGACAAGGAGGCAGATCAGGGGCAGAGCCAGCATGATTCAAACATAGCACTGGCCAATCCGCATCTCCTCATAGAGATGAATTGAATCAATGAATCTATATGAGGAAAGTTCAGTGTCTGCATGCAGAGGGAGGAGATACTGAATCACAGGATGCTGTGCACAGTGCTGCCCTGTGCTTTGCTGACAGCAGATCTGAGTGGATGGAGGCATATTATACCTCCATCAACTCCGAAGTCCCTCTTGTTCAATCTGAGTGACTGCAACTGGAGGTGTTCCTAGCTTTCAATGTAAACACCGTATTTTCTCAGAAAATACAGTGTTCACATGAGAGAGGCTGCAGGGAACTATAGTTCCCACTTGAACAACCTCATTAAGCTGAAGTTGTTCTGTTGACTATAGTGTCCCTTTAATATTGTATCAACAGAGCTCCGTAGCCATTGACGAATAAACATTCAGCCCTGGTGATTGTGCCATGGACCCTTGACGCTTACAGTGACGAGCCCTGGTATCAATTAGGAGAGGATTCATATTACTTTTAAAAATTTGCAGATATTCCACTAGGTGGCGCCAGAATAACAAAAAAAGAAAATTGAAGACTGAGAGGCCTGCTTACTAAATTACCTCCAGATCAGATTAATAATTAAATTAGGCAAGACATTGCAGCTGTGTGACTAGGGTGGGGAAAGCAGGAAGGGTTTGGAACAGAATCAAGTCTGTGGAAAAGAGTGGGGGAAAAAAAGGAGAGATTTAGAGAAAACAAACATGAAATTGAAATCGGAGTATGTGTCTACTGCTCCAAAATAAACATCGCATGTTTCCTGTAACAAATATCTGTCATTGTTTTAACACTTCCAGTGTCCCCATCTTAAAGGGCCGTGTCATAGAAGCAGACTGTAATGAAAAAGGAGATGTAGCTAACCAGTGCTGGTAGTAGGGTTAATAAACGGAGGTTAGACTGGCATTAAACAAAATGTCCTGATAGGACCAGAACTAAATAACACGCAAATTAAAATTGTTTTACAAACTGGAAAATTGTTAGAACCCGTGTTAACAGGTTAATCTTAACAGGACACTCAACTGCATAAATTAAAATATAATAATAATCACTGTTTTTATAGCTATACACACAATGAAAACCTGCATGCATATAAAAAATACATTTTTTTTTAATTGTATACCTTAGCTAAGCAAACAGAAAGTAACAGGACCGGTTGTCTGATGACCAAATAAGCACTTTTGTAGAATTAAAAAATACACATTTTCTTCACACATAAAGCTCTTCATCAAGCTAAAGTGCTTCACGAGTCTGGAGTGTAACTTTAATATAGGGCTGGCTTTTCTATAAGAAAGAAAACATAATTACTCCGTTCATGCTGTTGATACAAAAGAAGCTGAAAAACATTTGTGCCTGAAAATGGGGATAAAAATACCTTTTAGCTCCTCCAAAATTGGATCACCAATCTGTAATCGTACGTATTTTATAGACTTAAGTGATATTGTCACCAATAAAACATCCAGACCAGTTTTTTTTTTTTTGTTTTGTTTTTTGAAAGAGGAATTCTATAAAAGTTTTATTTATTTTATACCATGTAAACAATTAAGAAGTTAGTGGATTCATTGAGAGGTAAATAAACACTGCAACACATAGGTGGATAGCTGCTCATGCACTTTAGCAGTGCTAAGCAACTTTCGGCACCCCAGGTATTTAGGACTACATCTCCCATAATACTCTTGCAGACGTAATGCTGATAAAGCACCAGGGGAGATGTAGTCAACAGCATCTGCAGTGCCAATGATTGGCTACCCCTGCCCTATAGAGTGGAGGTGGGAGACGTGTGTTGGTAAATTAGGATTCCGAGATGAAATGAGTGGGGGTTTAAGGGAAATGACAGATCAGGCTCGTTCTCTCTCTTCACATATTAAATTACGTACGAAGACATGGATCTGAGTGGGTTAAGGAAAGGTAATAGATTTTCTACATTTTCTTTTCTTTTCTTTCAAAACAAATCTTTAACCGACATCTATATAAGTAGGTGAAAATACCTTCTAGTAAAATTCTATTTAAAATAGTGTTTTTGAAGTTTCTGAATACACACAGAAGGGGTATATACAATTTTTTAAAAGTTGTGTAGACTTTGCAATGTTATAACTTAGTACAAATAGAGTCATTGTTGCAGATCTGAGGGCTATGGTAGTTCATTGTGTTCCCCTGCCTAATCCCAGTTCTAGATCTCTCAGCAGAGATTGGAGATTGAAAGTGTCTTCGATAACTTTTATTTAAAATAGTGTCTCTCTGTAGGATCATTGTGCGATATTCTTGTGTCTACTTTCAGAATAAAAACAGATGTTTGCAAAAAATGTATGTCTTGCAGTCGTGACAACACAACCTCCAGTTACATCGTAATCTAGTTTGGGAAAAGACTCTTTTTAACGCATCGTTTTATGCCAATGGGAAACTTTTCTTCCTCTCCCCCCATTTAGGTAGCCAAATGAGCTTCTTTTTTTTTTTTTTTTCTTTTTTTTTTTAAATATCAAGGACATGCCATCCAAAAATTTACAATACAAAGGATTAACAGAGAGGGGGGATGCTTAAATCTGCTTTCTTCAGTCTTCATGTTTATTTTGGCTGTTCATTAAAATGACTTCACGGACCCCTGCTGGATCTCTGCATTGCCTGCCCCAAATAATATATAAATTTCCAAAGAGTTTTGAGTGCTGGTAGATTAAGGAACTTTCAACCCCTATGTTCCATATATACACATGTTGACAGAGGGCCAAGGCTTCCCTTCTTTACAATGAAACTTAGAACCGAAGTAATTTTTATTTTTTAGAACAAAATATGCAAACTTAGGAATTCAGACCCAAAGAGCTAGGTGTGTAAAATGACTTGGTGTGACGTATGCCTTTCCTTTCCTATATAACTGGTATATTTAGTGCTTTTAGCACCGTTAATTACTGCATCTGGTTCTGTTCATACAACAGTGTCCCCAGTAGAGGGCAGATGTTTTACTTTGCTTGCTCCTCATGTATAATAGGATTTCTTTCGAAGCGGAGACTGTCAAATTGTAACCAGCAAAGTGCATTACCACCATGCTTAACTCTTCAATGCACATTGACCACCAGTACAAAGTGAAATGTGGTGACAATACAGATTTGAATCCACAAAAAAATAACCACTGAAATGGGAACCCGGTAATTTAAACGAGTATAACTATATTTTCTAGACGCATGTTTACCAACTCACATCTTTAAATCACCTATGAGGGCCCCTAGTTCTAATGTGGGGTGCGCCTTCAGACCAATAAAGGCGGTCACACCTCTTCTTGAACCTTCTCTTGTATGGCCTCTAGGAAAATAACAGTGAGAAAGATCTCTTAAATTGCCTTTAACGAGTATATAAAATAACACAAGTGAATATTCACATGAATACGAGCCTCTTTGTTAGTTCATACTTTGAAGCACAGAGAAGCCTGTTGTCCCCTTTTTGACCGGTTTGGTCATAAGCAAATTGCCAAGGACCATTTATTCTAGCATTTTTAAAGTTGCACAGACCCTTAAAAATAAACACAAACTAACCACATTTTTATAGTACAGGTGTCCTGTACTATTTTAATAGTTACTAGAATATATTTGCTTCTTTGATACTCTGTCCATTTCTCTGGGTGAAAAAGACAAGTCTAGTTTTTCTGTTTGAGAAATTCTTTCCATGTTGCCTTTCTTTTATTTATTTTTTGAAATTTTTTTTTCCTTATTTGAACATCTACCACAACTTTGATTTTTCCCTTACGTACCCAGGTACTTCAGGCGGTCTTTGTCTTTTTAGCTACTAGATCATTATACCCAGATACTTCACAAACACTTGTTAACCCCGGTCTATGATTAATGAAAAAGTAGTTTGGTAGAGCCAGCATTCTTTCATTTTTGTTTCTTTCTAATTTGGAAGGTTTTTAGTACATTATATTTGCTATACTGTATATACAAATATTTAGCTCTTTGCATAAAAATAACTTATCCGATACTGTGTTGCTCTGCTTTATGGACTGTTTACCCCATGCACTGTTTAAATTTTTTCATAATTGGATATTTTTCATTTTCCCCACAGGACTTGCAGTGATACATTCACAAACTACGAATCATTTAGATGTCGGAAACAATCCTCGTGTAGGAACCAAACGCTATATGGCTCCTGAAGTTTTGGATGAGACCATCCAAGTAGACTGTTTTGACTCTTACAAGAGAGTCGATATTTATGCTTTTGGGCTAGTTCTTTGGGAAGTAGCGAGGCGCATGGTTAGCAATGGTAAGTGTTTTTTTGTTGTTTTTTTTTTTAAATATATAGTGTATGTATGTGTATATATTTCATATGGGTCTTAATTACTCTTTTTTTTTGTCTTGACATTCTTTGAATTGCTGGCTATTTTGAAATGCTATAAAATCGTCTATATTGCTGTTTTGGGCTTGAACTATTACCCAGTTTTAAGGCTCGTGTTGCTATGTTGTCTTAATGTTTTCCTAGCTCAATGTCTTGGCCAGCTTGTGGTGGTGGGATGGTGGGGGGAGTTAGTGCATCTGCTATGAGAGTGGCATTTAGTACGTGAAAAATAACATTTGAGTTCCTTGTTGGTTTTTTACTGTTTTGGTTCTGAAAATTGCTTGCCTTTAACACTTTAAGCTCCACTTTAGGGTGCTGAAGGCTGACCTGTTATTTAACCCTCTGCTACAGTATGTTTCATTTTCTTCAGATGGACTTTAGCATTGAAAAAAAAATAGTTAACATTTCTGGTTTGTGGAAGGAGCTAGAATAGTCGTGTTTATGAAGGGAGGAGAATGAGCGAAAAATAATAATGTTCAAAAGTGTTTATTAAAGAAAAAGTAAATGGATTCTTCTGTCTGATTCCAAGATCAGGGCTCAGGAAAAGGGAAAGATTTAGAAAAAGAAAATAAAAACATTTTCTCAATTTAAAAAAAATTTTCTTTACATTTTTCTTACAAAGCCACCAATCCATAATTTTTAATCTATGTACGTGAATGCAATGGGCATAGAATGACATTTAAAATAAATTGCATTTAAAAAAAAAAATAAAAAAAACACTAAATGCAGAGTTTATAATATTTTTTTATTTTGAACAAGGGAAAAACATGGTTTTCTGGGGCAAAGTGCTAAATATAGATTTATTACCATAGAAACCAAAAAAGTCTCTCTCAACATTTAGCATTTTTCATCTATAATTGCACTTGTTTTGCTTTGATAAGTATCCACCTTAACGTTTCCAGATTTGTGCCGAGTAATGGTACAGTTGCAGGAGGCTCGGTGCCTTACATAGATAAAGTCAACGGGTAAAATATTTTGTGCGGGATGTGACTATGTAACCCATACACTGGATGGAAACCTCGGTCTCCCCTCCCTCACCATTTCTACTCCTCCTAAAACAAAAAAGCCCTCAAGACCTATAGGATGTGCCAAATAATGCATTCTGTGCAATGTATATTCAGTCACTTATTACACACATTAATTTCTGAGCAGGGTAAAGGCAATTCGGTTTCCAAATTCACAAATATCTTTAGTTCAAAGTTCAGCAGCAATCCAAAGCAAAGTTCATTGCTATCATTTTCACCATCTCCCAGCAAAGTCCTACAGCTAAGAACGGGGACTCCGTAATATTCTGTTCAGCTTATGCAGAACATAGTATTCAAGTTGTGGCCTCGTGCAGTTGGTGTTCAGGGCTCATCAGGGAAAAGTTTCACAGTGTTTTATATTTTTTTTTTTTTTGGGAGGGGGCGGGGTTGTTCTTTTTGACATAGTAGTTTGTTCAGAACGCATATGAAAACTTAATGTATCTTCTCTACTGGATAACTAGTATATATAAACCTAAACAACTGTAATTCTGGGCCCTTTATTATACAATAAATGGGAAGAAAATGCGTTGTTTTTTTGTGTTTCTGTAATCCTTTTCCAAGCGAGTGCTCTGTGAGTCCTACCTTGTCGTACATATTCTTCTTTGAACTTTTATGGCAGTGCCGTTTGAACTTTGGCATACCTGAATGTTCTGTCCATTTTAGCCTTTGATAATACAGTAGAGAAATTATGTGTAACAGTCAGTCTCTCTGCGAAGAACTGGGACTTGTAATGTTTGTGTCTGCATTTGTATATGCGCGTGTGATCTCCTTCTGTTAATGAAGGATCGACCTGAAATTGCAGAAATCGCTGCAGCTATAAGTAATCATGCGCACGGGCACAGACAAGTATAGTCTTCGAAATGGTCCTTTAGAGGGGCCGGCACATCTGATCAAACCTTAAAGGAACACTATAGGGTCAAGAACAAAACCTGTATTCCTCACCCTATAGTGGTAAACTCACCATTTAGGTGGCTTGCCCTCCCTTAGCCACCTTAAAAGCAATTAATACTCCCCTTATTTCCAGCGCCGTGAGGGTCTGCCGACACGGAGGTCACCATGGGTGGGGCCAGCATCAGAAATGACGATTTTAAGCCAATCCAGTGCTTTCCCATAGGGAAAGCATTGGATTGGCTAAAATCGACAAGGAGTTGGGATGGGGGCAGGGCCAAACGCCGTTTTGGCCAATCATTGAATCAGTTTATCTCTATGAGGAAAGTTCAGCGTCCCTTTGCAGTCAGTTGCATAAAACTCTACAATTGTACCAAAAGCTGACCATTCATTGTGAACAAATAAGTTAGTAACTTACTTTCCCCTGGTTTTTAAGGAGTTTCAGATTGCACAATGAGTCAGAGCTCCTCTTTCCTTCTTTTTATAAAGTTCCAACTTATTCGCCTATGATGTACAATGGGTAGCCTATGGAAAAAAAAAAATCCAGGCATAAATAATCAGGAGGTGACACAGGGCTTTCATTATCTACTGTTTATTTCTATATTCCCATGTATCTAAAAGCCATAATATAAAGTATACACAACATAATATCTTTCATCGCAACCTTTATTAATAAAGGGGGAAAAAAACAATTTTACTGCTATTTATTTTTCCACTCCAAATAGCAAATTTTTCATCTCTGGTTTTACATTAGCCAGAGTGGAAAATAAACAAACGTCAGAAATGAATGACAAATTGCCCTAGTTATCTCTTGATTTGTTGTGACATTTCATACCAAAGCATTCTCAATGATTATTTTATCCTGAAATTTTCTTGTTACACCATCTTTTGCTCTTAAAGGGGCCGTTTTAATTTTGTTTTATTAGAAAGCCTAGGATTCTTTTGCTCGTGTGCATTAAAGGTATACTTTTTTAAAAACTTTAAAGTAAAAAATAGTACATTTTATTAGAGCCTTGGTAAGTGTGCATCAGTACATCTCATGACTTACCCTTACTTTCTGGTGCAGAGTGGCTTCTTTAAGCAGTATTTGGTCAGAATCCCAGTTTATCTGATTAACAACTGTACAAGTAATTCATAACAAGTTAATTACATACAGGGGGCTACTACAGGGTCTAGCAAACTATTGAGATAAGAAATGAGATAAGAACTTCTAAATGCAATAGTATCTGCAATAAAGGAAGTGTAAATATTGGATGACTCTTTACAGGAAGTGTAAGTCCCATGCAGGGAGGTGTGATTAGCGCTGCATAAATAAAGTGAATTAACTCTTAAATGGTGGAGAAGTAAGCAGGGAGACTGCAGGGACATGATTTATACAACACAACTGCTTCATTAAACTTAAATTGTTATAGTGACTATATTGTCCTTTTTAAGTAGGCTGTAGAGTCCCTTGCATAGCAAAGAAAAAAGGATTGGGGGCACACCCAAAACATGCATTCTACAGGAATGGTGCTGCCGTAGTGACCAATATTGATACATGATACAAATTAAGTTACAGGGCACACATAATTATACACTAATAATCTTATCAGGTTACTTAAACTTGCCTATCTAAGAAAACAAATATGGGGATTCAGTTCCACCATATGGCCATATTGGGCTAAGCCCACCACTACTTCACAGTACCCCAGTATCGGTGGGTCCTACACGAACTCCGAATGTGGTAGACAAATTCAATAGTGCTAAATAAGCTTAAGTGTATTAAGTTAATCTAATGTAAGAGCTTTGTGAGTATACAAACTGAATGTGATAAAAGCAATTAAAAACCGTGTCAAAACTAAACAAAGTAAAGGAAACCATTAAAGTTTAATTGTTTAATTTTGACGCTGTTTTTAATTGCTTTTATCACATTCGGTTTGTATACTCACAATGCTCTTACATTAGATTAACTTAATACATTTAAGCTTATTTAGCTCTATTGAATTTGTCTCCCACATTTGGAGTTTCTTCCAGGAAGCAACCGATATTGGGGTACTGTGAAGTAGTGGTGGGCTTAACACAATATGGCCATATGGTGGAACTGAATCCCCATATTTGTTTTCTTAGGCAAATTTAAGTAGCCTGATAAGATTATCGGTATATTATTGTGCGCATCGTAACTTAATTTGTATCATGTAGAGTCCCTTAAAACCACTTTCTCAGTGTCCCTGCCCCCATTAGTTTTGCAGTGTAAACATTGCAGTGTTAAATCTGCCTCTAGTAGCTGTCTACCAGCTCAACGCACACATGCATTAGGTTCCCCCTCGCAGTCGCAATGTCAGAATAGGTGGAGCCATTGCCAAGGTACATCGGTGCTGAAATGGGTAAGTAAGGGTTAAAAAGTTGTTTGTAGAGGTTTTTTTTGTGTTTTTTATATATATATATATATATATATATATATATATATATATATATATATTCCTTTCATTGTTGCGACAGTGGGATAATACAATAGTGTTAGGAATACAAAGCTGTATTCATAACACTATAATGTTCCTTTAATTTGTTTCCTGTGTGTGTTCTTCAAAAAAAAGTAGGCAATAAAGCCTGTCTGATTTTAGAAAGGAAAAACATCATGTTGGTTATTGAAACTGAAGAATTTATATGCCTGTTGTAAAAAGTATAACCTGCACATGTCTTCGTAAATTCCTTGTGTAAAACTGTGAATTGGTTAGCACTTGTGTTCCTGTTTGTGTTCTTACTGTAAAATCTAGTTGGAAAATTGTGTCAACTTCTCTCTTATTCTATCACAGGTATTGTTGAAGAATATAAACCTCCATTCTACGATGTAGTGCCTAACGACCCAAGCTTTGAAGATATGAAGAAGGTGGTCTGTGTGGATCAACAGAGGCCTAACATTCCCAACAGATGGTTTTCAGACCCAGTAAGTATTTGGTAATATATATTATGACAACCACTTATTTTGGCTCTGGTATTGTTTAGCCGTTAGAGAAAAACACGTTGATCCTGAATACATAAAGGAACCCTCAGGGCAGCATAACAAATATTTGAAACAAAGTCCTATGTCCCATGAAGGCCCTTGTGTGTAGCTCTTTTAATTACGCTGATACATACTGGCACACACACAGACACACAGAGTGACACATATACACACACACTGATAACACACTCTTTGACAGACACAAATACACTGACACACGCATACACTCTCGCTGACCAACACACTCTGACAGAAACACACTCTCGCTGACACACACATACAAACATATATACACTCTCATTGACATGAACAGATACATTCTCACTGACAAGCACACATTCACTCTCACTGACAAACGCAAACACACATACAAACTCCCTAACAGACACACATACAATTTTTTTTTTTTTTTTTTTAATTTTACTCCACTCAGCCCCCCTAGCTTTAGGAGTGCTGGCATGCAGTCCCTGTGGTCCAGTGGGTCTGGCTGCAGCTTGGCGGGAGGTATGGCAGGTGAGCGGTGGAGGCAGGCGGTGAGGGAGCAGTGATCTCTCTGCTCATTTTATTTTCAATTTTTTGGGAGGAACCCCAATTAGTGTTCCGCGGAACACCAATTGGGAAACGCTGGCTTAGAGTGTCGTAAATCCGCTAACTTTTTTATAAGTTAAAAAACTGAACGAGTTTGGAATTCCAAGTCAACCACTCCTCCTACACAATGTATCAAAGAGACAGTTTGTCAGGTGTATAGATGGGAGTTATTTCTTGTCTATGCAAAGAGATAGTATTAGTATTTTTGTTGTTGTTTAGTTGTCCGACTGTGCTTTAAAAAAGTGAATCTACAATGATAAATTGCAAAAATTGTTACAAACCCACAAATGAGTCTCACGATTTCCACAATACCTGCATTACTGGATCCTTAAAGCATTGTGGGTGGGTGCTTGGGCCCTGTGGGAGGTCATAATGAATATGACAGACGGGTTTTCTAGCCAAATATATAATTTAATCTGTATATTTCCTATGAACCAGAAGCAAGGTTTTATGCATTTCTGAGTTCTAGTATATATCTTCTAGTAAATGTTTAGTGGCTAGCCTCAAAGTCCTTTTAAATATGTTAGAGAGAGAGCTGAGTGGATATGGCTCCGGCTGTGGTATCTTAGTTGGATTCCTGGCAAGATCAACCCCCACCTCTCATTTTTCTGAGGTCGATAAAATTACTATAATTTAGTTGGATTCAAACATCTGGATCCTAGGGCATACTTTAAAGCTGCATAAGTTAAAAGTAGGCTTTCTTTTTTTTTTTTTTCTTTTGTTTCTTTTGTTTTATAATTTTTTGTTCATAGTAGGGTCTTGTTCTAGCTTGAGCTTACCCCCTTTAACTTCTTCTTCTTTTTCCACCCCCTTCCTCCCCTGCAGAGTCTAACATCACTTGCGAAGTTAATGAAGGAATGCTGGTATCAAAATCCATCTGCACGACTCACAGCCTTGCGCATCAAAAAGACTTTAACCAAAATTGACAATTCCTTAGATAAACTGAAATCGGATTGTTGAAAGACTATCAACACTGCCATAATATTATCTGTGTATAGTTCATATAGGAAATACAAAAGACACCAAAAAAACGTGCTTGCCTGACGAGGTGTAGACTTTATGGTTAAAAACAAGACTTTATACTTGTACCTGCCCAGTTTGAAGACAATCCTGCTTTGGAACCTGAAGCAATGGATACCCTTGTCCTTTAATGAACAGACTGGCTTCCAGGTTGAAGGGAAGAGCCGATTATTGCAAAGATTTGCATTTGAAGGAGCGCGGGAGATATTTCGGGACAGATCTGGGCATTAAGAGAAGACATTGGAGGAACAAAAGACAATTCATGTCATGTACCCAGCTACTTCTATTATAAGAAACATTGAACTGACAAATTTCCCTGCAATATTGTGTGTGTGTGCTTCTACGTTCTCTTGCACTAAAAGGTTCTTTGCATTCCTTACTTGCACTGTTACTCTTGGTTTTTAACGACAGATGCCAAATATATTGTTGGCCGTGAATGGATCTGTTTGTTTTTTGTTATTATTTTTTTTCCGCCCCCTTTTATTTTTGCTTTCATTTTTAATTTCCCCTCCCCCTTCCCCCTTTTTTAAATTAGACAATATTTTTAATTTGGGGGTGGGCAGAGAAGAAAACGAACACAAAAGCAAATGAAACCGAAATGTCAGTGTCTGCTGCATTTTAAAATGTGTGCTGATGTTTACAATAATGCTGAACATTAGGAATTTTAATTTTAATTTTTTTTTCTCTACACAGAACCTAAATATTATTTATTAATTTGTGCGCTTAATGATTTTAAAAAAAACTAGACTTAAAGGTCCTCTCCGAGCACCATAACTACTGCAGCTTTTGTATTCAGTGTGTTGTATGGAAGCTTACCCTGAAAACGTACCATGTATCGTCGCCATAAAGGGGATTTTTATCATTCTCTGTTGCCTGGAGTTCACTTGTCTTCCCATCTGCATCATATAGGTACTTCCAGCTTAACCTTTGAGCCATCCAAGTGTTTGCATACATGCACTATTCTTTTATGAGTGCCCAAAAAGCTTGTCTGGCTCAGGAGAATGGCTTAAACTACATGAGAAATCTGTATGCTTGAACGTGTAAATGGAGAGTTAGAATTTCCCCATGACCAAGATAGAGGAGTGAAGCCCAGGCACCAAACATTAACATAAATATCTGGCAGGTACGCTTTCAGGGAGGGTTTCCTTGAACCATAACTACTACACAATTGTTCAGTGCTTATGGTACTTGAATTGTCTCTTTTAGTGGTGGTAAATGCAACATATATATATATCCTTTTACACTATTTTTTTTTTTTTTTTTTTATGTAACACAATGATAAGAAAAACTATTCTGTACAAACAATACAATGACACATTTTGTTCCTCGGGCTGAGATTTTGTGTGGTCTGCGACTGTTTAGAACTCTGAACAATTACTGTCACTCATCACTTTCACCTAGTACTTTACTGACATAGGAATAATGGCATATGCGAGAACTTCTATAAATGTTTTATGTCTGGATATTTTAAGCGGAGAGAGATGCATTTCTTTTAAGCTATATAATATGTGCATTGTAAACTCTGCCAGAAAATAACTATTTTGTTTTAATCTACTTTTTGTATTTAGTAGTTTATTTGTATAAATTAAATAGAATGTTTTGAAGTCAGTTTATTTACTTTTTATGTATTTTTGCTCAAAGAACATTCAATTGTTGTTGTTTATAGTTGGGGCCTATTTAAACGGGGCAGCATAAAAAAAAAAATTCTATTTAATGTTATTTCCTTTATATTGGAATTTTCAATGGTGAAATTGGCACCTCTGCCCTTAAAGGACTACTATAGTGCCAGGAAAACATATTCGTTTTCCTGGCACTATAGTGCCCTGAGGGTGCCCCCACCCTCAGGGCCCTCCTCCTGCCGGGCTCTAGGGGGGGAAGGGGTAAAATTTACCTCTTTCTTCAGCGCCAGGTGGGGAACTCTCCTCCTCCTCCTCATCGCCGTCATCAGCTGAATGCGCATGCGCGGCAGGAGCCGCGCGCGCATTCAGCCAGTCCATAGGAAAGCATTCTCACAGTGAGAAGCGCCTCTAGTGGCTGTCAATGAGACAGCCACTAGAGGCTGGATTAACCCTATTATAAACATAAGTTTCTCTGAAACTGCTATGTTTATAGAAGAAAGGGTTAATCCTAGTTGGACCTGGCACCCAGACCACTTCATTAAGCTGAAGGGGTCTGGGTGCCTATAGTGGTCCTTTAAGTAGCTCACTTGAACACTCTTTGGGCCCAGAAGGTGGGTCGACGTATTTCGTCCTTGCATCAGAGAATGCTGATGACTAAACTTTTTAAATGATGAATTTCTAGCATCTGATTGGATGCAAGTTTAATTTTACTTCCTCATTATTAGTCCAAATGTTTTTGTATGGAGTGCATTGCAAAATTTCTGGATTGGCCAAATCATCTCTACTTTTAATTCTTCTTCCTTTTTTTTTTTTTTTTAGTTTGACTGTGATGAAGGGTTTAACTGCAATTTGCCACAGTTGTACAAATATCTGGACAGGTAATGAGGAAGTGAAGTGTTTGGGGTGCCACGGGTTTGAAACTGGATAAAATCTCAGCAAATCACCTTGATCACGTTTTCAAACCAATAACAACTGGGACAAGTAACAGGTGTGAGGTCTTTAATTTGTACTACAGCTTCTCCAATACCTAGTCAAAACTCAGGTTTGCAGTTTTTATTTTTGGCAGGTTCAATTCAGCCCTTTAACCATTCAGAGAAAATATGACTAATGTTAATTTAATATCTCCTAACACTGGACAGTATGCACGCCAAATTGCATGACTATCAATGCCCCCTAATGGGAGGGCCTGCCTGGAAATGAGGCTGACCGGCTCACTCAATGGACCTTGTGTTATGGACATATGCAAAATTCTAAATTCTATGCTTTAAGACATTACAGTGTCAAATAGGGGAATCAGCAGCGGTTACACTTGCAGAGAATACTATCTGTGAGGTTCTAGAGCCAGTGTATAGCTAAGCGCATCTAAATATGCTCTCGTACTGTGCTGCCCAAGGACAATTCTCTGGTGTCCCTGGATGCCGGTCACCAGGCAACAATATCTGGTTGGTGGAACAGAATAACAAATCTGGAGTGTTGGCAAGTTGCAATTTGGGTGATATCTTCATCAATTCATT